TTATTCTGACCACATTGTTACTACATTCTATACATCTTATTCATCTTAGCTTTCAATATAATAATAACAATGTTTAGGTCCACGGCACACATCTCTTTGGCTAAGGAAATGTTCCAAATACAGCACCAGCTTGTGACCCTTTGAGGCAGTCTTTTCTTCTTCTTTTTTAGATCCGGTTCATTGTCCTGCAACTATTCCTCTCTCAAAAGAAACCTGGATTCTCTCGCTGTGACATTCTTTCCTCAGATCTGTCATCCCACTCACACCGTAAAATCTCTAAAGCTCCAGAGCAGAAAAGGAAAGAGGAAACACCATCTGCCAATCACAAAGAGACTATAGCACAGGGGTGAGCAGCAGTTCACAGAGGTTATCCCAGTCATAATAACTGTCCTATTTCTTTCCCATTCCTCTTCAGGCGGGGAGTAATTGTCACACACATTAGCGCAGGTGTTGTCTTCAAAGCTTTCACACCTTTATAATGCTCGACAATGGAGGTGCTGAAAAGCGTGGTGACATCCATTGTTGTGTCGCTGCAAAGTGGAGCTTTTAAAAGCCACTGGTTTCTCCTTCCCCTGTTCCCCAGAGAAGCGAGGTGAAAAGGACGAGAAATCCAGTTAGTGTTGCCTTCGCCTCGTAGCCGTGTTTTCTAGCTGCCAGCGTTGTGTCTTAAAAGTGATGGTGCGAGGAGACCCGTGTCACACATGCAGTTGGAATGGAGCGGCTGATGCGAGAGAACTGTTGTAACTTGAGAATAATAATGGCATTTCTTCGTCACATAGGCGTACACAGCAAAAAGTTATGAAAAATGAGACAAAAAATGTCCCAAATTTGGCTAAGAGTATCTTGATTTTAGAACATTGTGATTGCCTTAAAACAAGATTTGCGAATGGAACAAGTATACATATCTCATTTTTTATTCACAGTATACTGTATGTCTCCCTTGAAATGAGAAAACAAAGCAACAGTCCTTAGACCTAATGGCTTTGTCCCATTGGCAAATCTTGTTTTAAGAATGCGCTCAAAAAAGAAGATACAAAAATAAAATAATTATCATCATTTTTTGCAGTGTAGAGGCTATATACACAGGCTTTTCAATATCATGTCTATATGTTCAATAACTGATGGTACTACAATCTCATTTGTAATTAGAACTTTCTTTTTGATCATCTGCCTGTTCTAGAGGTTCTTTATGAATCCAGACTCAAGCTCTTAAATAACCAATGACGCAGGAATAGCCATGTTCCAGCTTCTTCCCTCTGGTAGACGATATCGTTCGTTGAGATGCAAGACATCTCGCCTTGATAACAGCTTCTTTCCACAAGCTGTTATCAGTTCAAACAGACCCTCTTAATGATCTTTTCCTAGTTTTGAAACTGTTTTAGTTGATCAGTGTCAGTGTCAATTATTTCTTGTACTTTGTAGTGTGTTTAAATGTCTGTACTGAACCTTTTATTTATGTACTTTTCGAATGCACACAGAGGACTACTGCAAATGGCAAATACTTAAAGCTGAATTTAGTCATATTTTTATCCTGTTGTGTTTGCTACCTACCTCTACCGAACAGTATATGCTGATCATGTGACACCAAAATGTAACATTATTCATTCTTCCACTGCTTTCAGACAGTACATGATTTCAACAGACACCAGAGGGCACCACTGTACATCCAAGCGATACTGAACTACACTTCTTCTGCAAAGTCCTTGATAAGTTGCATTATGCTACTTTTCAAGGGGAAACAAGTTGATATGTTTTGCACTGTTGGTCTTGTATCGACCGAATGGCTGCAACAGTGGTTAGCATGATGCCTTAACCTCTGATCACGGTCGTATCTACAGTGCTCCAAAATCAATTGTGCAGGGGTCCTACAGCACTACAGAAGAGAAAACCTTGAAAAATATTGGCCCTACAGAATCCTAAAACCAGTGTGTTGCTCTGACAGCCACTGGGTCACTTCAAGGACAGAAGTTATTGAATGTTATTGATCTCACAGTGGAGAAATGCACATGCTGTTTGGCTTCCATAAGATCACTCAGGGTGGGCACATACTGTAGACAGGAAGTGTGGAAACAATTATCAACTTTTTCCACATAAAACATTGCATAAGGCCCCTTTAAAATGGGCTCACGAGACAGAGGCTGGCAGTGCCATCATGTGACCCATAATACCACAGTATCCTCCCGATTAAATTATGTAAAACTAATGAGAGATATATTTGACTATTTCATGGTTTCATTGGATGACCTAATTCTTACGGACCAATGATTCTTCTGTGTTTTTATTGTTGATTTCTGTAACACTTTCTGCTGTTGCGAAATCGTCAATTATGCAACACTCTTTTTTTTAAATATACTTTACTGTGTTTCCTTGATACAGTGAATCTAGCGACTTTTTAGGTAACACAACAATATTTACATATGCATGCCACAGTTGAGTGCATATGCATAAATGTATATTTTTTTATTTATTTTGACACTCTTTGAGACGACCAATGTTGTTATTTCGGGCATAACACACACATACATAAGATTTAAAGATTAAGATTAAGAGATCCTTAATTCTTCGCGCAGTGGGAAGATTTCAGTGTTGCATCACCGGTTACAGACAGAGAAAATGAGGAGCACACAACACAAGATATGAATAATTTCTATAAACTAAGCAAAATAAAATCTCTGACTCTAGCATAAAATAAGCAGTATATAATCTCTAAAATATATTTAACTTATTAAGTAAGTAAATCTAAAATCTCCCATTTTAGCATCACAAAGAAGCAAGACTCAAGTGCGAAAACTCCTGACTTTAGCAAGAGTTGTTCTACATAAGTTGTCTGTACGAGTTAGACATACACACTTTCCGATTCTGGATTAATGAATGCACTGTTGCGTGCTCATTCCGCCGTTAAGACAATAACAAAAAGGCATACTTTTCATATGACTTTATTTTCTGCACACTCCATAATCTGGCTTCTATTAAAGTTGTTGCTGTCTTTCGTTATGTTGGATGTTTTGCTGGCATCGCTTAAAACCCCCGATTTATTTATTTATTTATTTTTTTTGCCTACGATCCATATAAAGTAGCAGCAGGGTTTACAAGACATATTCCACTTCATCGCGGGCCAAATGTAACCATAACACCGCGTTTAGCCATGCCAATCACCCCAAAATGAGCCTGAACCAGTGCACAATGTCAGGGGAGAGCTGCCCTTATAATCACATCAATCAGCTCCAAAGGCTGTGCAGAGTGCCCTCTTCTTGACCTGCTGTTGTGCAATGATCCCAGCTCAAATTGAGGCCAGAGCCCGGAGTCCCAGTAGAGCAACTAAGGGCTACTTGGAGGTCACGATCTCCTGCTTTCATACAAGCTCTGTGACAATACACTTGGGGCATATAGCGGTAAAAAAGCAACGACTGTAAAGGTTATACCTGAAAAGACGGAAAGTTAAGGGGGGGATGGGCAACATGAGTGTGGAGAGGATTCAATAATCAAAAAAATACAAAAGAAATCTCTTGAGTATTAGTGTTTTGGTTACGTTTTGTCACGTTTTGTCATGTATGAAATCGTATGAAATGAAAATCTATGGCATTCTGAAAAGTTAGTGAGATTACCATCAGTTGTATTGAAATGTACCTTTACCCCTGTTTAGTAAATGTGAAAACTGATGAATATAACTTAAAACAAAAAAATGTTGAAAGACTAATGCTAACTGGTAGCTTACTTAAAAAGTCAAAGTTATGACTGTTTGAAGCTTACATGAGTTGATTATTTACACTTACAAAACTAAAAGCTGTCAACTTGACTGCTCTGGGAGTATTAGTCTTCAAGTCTTTTGTTTTAGCTGAGTAATTCTCCTTTACTTGTATCACAGTTGCACTTAGAACACACAGATATGGCATGGAGAGTCTGTGCATAATCTCTACTGTAAAGATGAACAACTGCATCTAACTGCACATTCCAAGAGGAGTTAAAGATACTGTACCTAACTTTCAGATTTCATCATTCACAAACAAAGAGTTAATTCACAAAAAACAGTTGTAATGCTTCGGTTTTATGTTGCGCTTTTCAAGACATTCAAAGACGTCATTATTCTTTCACTCCATACACAGTGGTGATAAACTACTATACTGTAGCCACAGCTGCCCTGGGGCACACTGACATAAGCGAGGCAACCAGTCGGTGCCATCAACCCCTCCCACCACCACCAAACATGTACACACACACCAGACCCATTCAATACAATGTGGGTGAAGTCTCTTGCCTAAGGACACAACAACATTTTGGCACTTTACACTCGCTCCACCTGGTGTGTTACCAGAGGTCTCCCATCACAGTACTAACCAGGTCCTACCCTGCACAGTTTCTAACGTCTGACGGGATCTGGCTTTTGAGTGCATGTATAGCCATCCCACCAGAAGAAGACGTACAAAAGTAAATCGTTATGAACAAATCGGACCACAACATATCATCTTCATATTATTAAAAAACATATTATCTGTTGCATCTTAAAGGGCCCTCAGAGTCACTATTTGATATTTTAGACTGAGAGCTGATTGGCTGAGTGAGAATGGTACCCTCTTTGTCACTTCTGTCTGGAAAAAAACCTGCTTTATTGTTCCTCTAACAGAAACATGAAAATAATAATGTGTTGTTTATTTATCAGTGTGTGTTTGTTTGTTTGTCCATTAATGTATAAATATTGGTCTCCCTTCAAGTAAACCAACACAATAGGTATGATGACATAGACAACAAGTAGTTTAGGGGAAAAATCTCTATACTAGAAATTACAGACTTTAATATTGTCAATTCATAACCAGAGTCTTACCTTTGACCCGTCACCACCATAATGCGTTGCCTGCAGCCATACCCTTCACATTAGTAAATATTTGACAATTGTTGTGAAATGCTACGTTTTTTTTAAAGTCAACATACAGTCAACACACACACAAACATACAAATCTATGCATTTTTATTTTCTTTTGCATTTGCCTTGTGATTGAGCATACCTTCTTTGCGCCCTGCTTGGAGAACTCTTTGGCCAGGTGTCGACCGATGCCTCGTCCTCCTCCGGTGACCAGCACCACCTCTCGGCTCAGATCCTTCTTTCTGTCCGGGAAGAGCAGGCACACGCTGGCTCTCACAACGTGGAACAACATTTGCACCGGGAAGAGCACCATACGACACGCGCTGATCAAATCCATGTCGCCAAAACGTCCAAATTACGCAGCGAGACGAAGACGCGAATGAGTTGAAATTACGCAGATATATATATTTTTTTTAAAACGCAGGCTTAATCTCAATCATAAAAAAGGGAAAAGTTAACGTCTCGTCATACTACGTGTAGAGAAAATGACGTGAGAGAGATCCGTCATTACGCGTGTGTGGACCATAGACTCTATGTGTGTGGACTGGTGACAAAGGTGAAGGTACAAGTCCAGGGAAGTCCAGTGGCGACGCTTCTGCTTCTGCTGCTGCTGCTGCTGCTGTGCGTCTGCTTGTGTTGTGATTTTTCTCCCCCCTGGCTTTTTATACACGCAAGCCTGGTCCGTGCTCGACAACTTCCACCTCTGAAAGCCTCGAAGCGCCCATGGAGACAGCTTTGTGAGGGGAGTAATCCTGATTGACATGTTGAGTGGGAATGAATATTTGCGTTTTTATTGCCCCCAGTGCCCCCGTAGTATCTGCCCACACGGCGCGCCTCCCCTACCTCCCCCTTGTTGCTCCACTCCGCTCCAAACGCACGCACACACACACACACACACACACACATAGAGACAGGACGCGCGGGCCCCCCAGTGGTCAAAGCTCCATGGGGCTACACTGTCGGTCTGTGTAATGTTGTTTAGAAAAATAAGTTTTAATGTGATTAGGCTGATGAGATTTGCTGTTGGTTCATTATTATTCAAACAAACATGGCTTATCTCGCGATTAATGGTCATTTAATTATAGGCCTAATCAGGTGTTTTGCAAATAGAGATAAAAGCGAGATAGAAAATGTGGAAACAGCAGGCGATTCACATGAGAGGCGATGAGTGAAAAAAAAGACATATCTGTGTCACTGTTACGCACTGCTTTATAAAGATTGTTTTGTTTTAATATGTGTGTGGGTGTAAATTCTTGAGAAATTCGTGGAATATTTTTCATAGGTACCAAAGTCTAGTTATCACTGCCATCTACAGGCGAACTGTGAAAGTACCTTAACCGATTTTCTGAACTAAATTTGTGTTTTGCTGTAGAAACCTGTAAAAAAAGTTCATGGGAACACGTATTTTTGCTGTAACTTGTAACAGCTTGACACAGATTCATATTCATTTTTTTGCCATTTGCAGTAAAACCACATTGGAATACATGTGCAAAGGTTCCCAGTGTGCACCAAACAAGTACATACACAAAAAATAAGATGAAAGCAAAAAAAACAAAACGCACAAAAAAAAAAGGATGCAACTAAAACATAACATTTATACTCACATCTCTTTCTGAAATGATGTATAATTAGATTACAATGTTCTAATACAATGAAAATATGCATATCTCATTAGGTAACGTTTTTTTCTGAATTATTTTGGGGATTTCAGCAAACAGTTGCCTTATTAAAATGAAATTCATTTATTGATGCTTGATTATGCTATCTTTGCATAATATTGTATCATTAATCCAATCGGTATTTTTCTTGCTTCTGCCTGGATGAGAATAAAAAAGACTACATATTGTTTAAATTAGAAAGAGAACATATATATTTTACTTGATATTAATAAACATGCTTAACAAATTGTGCAAAAACAATGTTATTTTGATCCTATCTGGCATCTGGGGTCTGTATAAGACATTGTATGGCTCTGTATTAAAGTTTATGGTTTTGGTGCTGGCTTTTGGAGGTCATTTTGACATCTGCAGAAGGCACTCAAAGGATAGATGAGCAAAGGTGTCAGACAGTCGCTCTTTCATCGACATAATAACCTTTGCCTCTGGATAAAACCTTGAGAATGCTGTGAAAACTCTTCTCGTTGTTCATGTTTTTAGCATTGATAAACTGGTTTTCTGGGACGCAAACCTAGACCTCTGCATCATTCGTCATTTTATTTCACATCTTGAAAATATATCACAATTTGATTAGATGTACTTTTCAATTTCAAAGGACAAATTTGCATTCAATAGTCCGCAGCAGCTAAACAAGGCTGGTCAAAAAATTACTCCCCTCAGTATTGACACGCATCTGAAACGTATACCTTTGAGCTAAGAGCCTATTTTTGGACCAGGCTGTTTTCAAAAGGATATAATTTGTTGTGAGAATTTAGTGGATAATTCTGTTTTCTGTTATAACACTACTGAAGAAGTCAGATTACAAGCATGTCAGCGTACATACTCATGAACCCTTTTGATCCAGGGTCTGCCCGCTGGAAAAAACCTCAGTGCTTCACAAGGCTCCATAATCCCTTTACAAAAAAATAAGGAAGCAGTCAATCAATCAACAAAGCACTCCGGACCTACTCACATCGACTCCATTGAAATTTGACTGAGCAAAACGCGGTGATTGTGTGAAATTGCCGTCTGTTTGGAATAAACGGCATGGAACCATTTTTCTACAGTTATAATGATAATGCACTGGTTTTATTTTGCGACACTGAAAGACGCTCCACATGTCATTATTCATTCATTCCAAACACAGTGAAAAAGTACTATTTTAGCAACAGCTGCCCTGGGGCACACCGACCGAAGCAAAGCAACCAGGGCGTGCCTCAGACCACCAAAAAATGTTCTAGTATGTGTAGTAAAAAAATCTAACTGAGTTTCTCTCCCGCACTGACCAGTGAATTAGTGAAATGGAAGCTAGGACTCTGTTTACATATAAAAAGGTTTAAGCAGAATACAGACAAATTACAGACTAAAACTATAGCCCGGGTCCCGCTGGATGGAACAGCAAAAAAGACCCCGAACACAAAAACCAGTGGACTGTTATAGTATTTTAGAAGTCATAAGACCCAGTCACAAGACCCATTAAAAACAACCCATACATTTACAGGAACTAAATGTGCAGTCGCATGATATCAGTGCTGTTCACACATATAAAGATCTCCATTGTTTTCCCAGAGTCACGTCAGCCTCATGACTGAGAAAAGGGTCATTAGAGTCAGCTGCTTCTACCATTGGGCCCAAATGTTCCCAACACATTTTGAAGATACATGCTGTATATGTAGAAGTTATAATAGCAGACACTACATACAGTATGTGTGAACAACAGCAGGTACCTTACAGCAGCCCCACTGTGGACCCTGGTGTTCCCAGAGGTCTCCCATCACAGCACTAACCAGGCCCTACTCTGCGTAACATCAGAGGTCTTACATGATTTGGCTTTCACATGCAGACTGTAATATTTTGTAATGGTGAAGATGAAGAAGTGGCTGGGAGATGACCCTGTGGTGTGGTTGCACAAGAGCAGGTCACACATTTAGTTATAATTGCTCTTTTAGCCAAACAGTAGTCGCCTTATGGACACGGGCTTTGCTATTTTCATAATTGGCTGCGCGGCTCTCGTCTCTGCCTCCCTCCTCCTGGTAATTGGTCTGGCGTGTTCAGAGCTGATGAATTCACACATTTCCTCCTGGGTGCAGACCACAAGAAGTATGCGCAGGGTTGTGGTGCTGACTGTTGTCTGACATTCGTACCATTCTACGCTTCTAATCATTCTGTTGCCTTTAAACTTGTTCTCCACTGCGCACATTTTAAGGACATTTTTTGTGCCGCTATGTTTGGGAAAGCAGATGGAAAACTTCCTAGCTATTGCACATGTCAGAAGTTGAACGTTTGCATTTAGCTTCTGCATTTAAATAGCGGTACAAGGCTAAGTTTTCAAAATTACATCCCTAAAGTTGTTGTTCGATACCATCTTTATTTGCCATCTGCAGCTGTTGTTATTGCGTTGATGCTTTTAGATAAGAAATCAGGTTTCTCCAAAGCAATATAACAGACTTTGAGAGAGGTTTATTGCAGGGACGTGCAGTCAGGGGAGGCAGGGGAGGCAGAGCCTCACCTGCCATTATTGGAAACTAATAATTATTTTAGTTTAAATATATAATTTATATCTACTGTCCTATGCTTTTAATGTATATTCGGCACGGTTCCCATCAGTTTTGATCATTTCTGAAGTCAAAATCGCCGAAATCCCGTTATTCCTATTCAAAGAGACGAGGTGAGGCAGCGCTCCTGCGTGCCTCACCCCAGACCGCTCCCTCACAGTGTGTGTGTGTGTGTCTGAGTGCACTCAGCTCGTGCAGTTGATATATCACCGTTTGTTTCAAATATCCTGCTTTAAAAACATTTTTTAAACTCCTCTTAGTGTTTAGTAGTGTATTGCACGTATGTGTGTACAATTTATATTTAGTTTAAGTCTTTTGGAGATCGTAGATGAACACACAAGGAAAAAGCTTGGCGTGAGGCAGGCGGTATCTGTGCCTCACCGCTAGGGGTGATAGTGAGCATAAAGTTCATACCAGAGTTGCTAACAAACAATCAGCCCAAAATGCTATTTCTTTTGCTGGAAAATGGATGATTTGAATGAAGATTTTTTTTCTCAATTGGACTTTCAAACAAAGAAAGAATTAATATAGACTGGGAGACCACCACTGGACTTACGAGGTTAGTCCGGCTGCGGGGGAGGAGTTTGTTAATCTGTGTTTTATGTTGAACATTGACAGATACCGGCAAAGTAGTGCTTTTCCGAAAAACACTGATTCAAACACTGCTCAAGAGTTCTGCAACTTGTTTAAATTATTGTTTATGTTCCTCGCGTCTCTCTCTCCTCGCGTCTCCGTCTCTCTCTGCTCCTCGCGTCTCCGTCTCTCTGCTCCTCTCTGTCTCTCTCTGCTCCTCTCTCCTCGCGTCTCTCTCTCCTCGCGTCTCTCGCACCTGCGCTTCTTAAAGATGTTGTTTGATGCGGAGCAGAGTCAGCAGCTAGATTTGTTGTGAGATTATTAAAAGAAGCTGGTTCTCTTATCTTTACAGTATATAAAGTTTGTGGATGTCATTGCATTGGTGATTAAATGCTATTTTATTTGAATAATGATTGTAAATCTGACTTTTAAAGTCAGTGCCTCCCCAATCACAAACCTCACCGCACGTCCCTGGTTTATTGAGTACCGGTTGCATAAAGTCAGCAGTTAACCCCGACAGACGTGTAGAATTGTAGAATGATAATTACTGAAACATTTTGATAAGTGGTGTATATGAAATAAATTAACCATTATCAGGAAACTATTCAGGGGTGTGTTTGCCCTGTGGATGTGGTGTGGAGGAAGGTACAGGAACTATTGTATGTCTTTAAGGGTAAGGAAAACCGGAGCACCTGGAGGGAACCTGCACAGACACAGTGAGAACATGCTAACTCCACTCAGAAAGGCCCCGTGCAGACCATGCTCATGACATGGGAATTCTAATCAGGATTTGAGCATTAGAGAAAAGTCCTGCTGATGTGGAGGAGGAGGGTTGTGGCTCGAGTTGAAGCTGTTAGATTCAACAAGCTTGTTCAAATGCATGTTTAGAGTTGACTTCTAAAGAGTCACGTCTATGCAGGGGAACGGAGGACACCATTCAGGCTTAACTTCCGCTTTAGCTGCAAATGTGTCACAGAGAAAATACATTCTATGGGATAAGTTATAGTAAATATATATCCAAGGCTCATGGCTATTTTTCCAATCTTTCAACAAATAATCTGGATGCCTTTTCCCTATATTTTCATGTTTTTGTTTTATACATTTGCATTTGTTTCCTCCTTATAGGGAATTGTAAATACTGGGTGTATTGTTCAGGTGCGCAGTTAGATGCCAATTGTAGGAGGAGAGCCTCAAGCCGGAGAATAGTAAACAGTAAAGCATTGTTATATTTATTGTGAATTAGCATGTTGTTTTTCAGATTATATTTTATTCATTTATTTTGACTTATTTTTCCCTCTAGCCAGCAGAAAACAGACTCCTCTCGGTCTATGAATAGAAGAGAGGGCAGGTGGATTTCTTTCTCTTGAGGATCCATGTAAGCAGAGCCAAAACGATAGATTGTTATTATTAAATTATTGTCATTTATCATCATTTTCAGCATGTTTGTGTTTGAGATCATTGATGCATGGAGTGGAACCGCACATGGTCTATAAACATTACAAATTGTTCTAACACAATACCCAATCATTTAATGAATTTTCTGGTCTCCCCTAAGAATTTGGCAACATGTGTCTTAATTTGAGCACATTTTGACTGCCTTAACACAAGATTTGCCAATAGGATAAGCAAAATTATGGGACAAGCTAAATTAGTATTTTTAGAATGTGCTAAACTTAGGATATAAAAACACTTGATCCAAGCAATTAATACCTCTTTTTTATGTGAAAGGGCCTAGTTTTCTCATAAATTCTGGCAAAGCAGCTGAACAAAATATTTGTGGTAACTATGGTAACTGTCAAAGAGTTCCCATCTCTGTTAGGAAACCATTTCTAAGCAAATCCGCAAACACACAGTTTCACAGACTGTCTGTTTTTTATCGTTATTTATCTTCTCATAATGGTGGTGACAATATTCAATATTATATAAAATGTTAATCTAATGATTGCCACCTACGGATGCCCACAGTCAGAACTAAACACGGGGAGGCAGTATTTCAGATTTATGCAGCTAAAATCTGAATCAGTCTTCCACGAAAATATGAGACAGGCTTCTTCAACGATGAAATCCAGGTTTAAAAAAAATGCTTGTTCAGCTTTGCATACAACTGAGGGATACTGTATTTTTAATGTATTGTGATTTATGCTTTTAATCCTTGAAATTGTTATTGTTAGTAACGTAATCCATCTATATCTATCTATCTATCTGTCTGTCTGTCTGTCTATCTCTTTCTCTCTTTATTATTCTAGAGAACAGAAATAGAATCCTTGAACATGAACACAACCCATTTCAACATACCATACTGAGCATGTTTGTCCGCTCACCTCTTCCCAGGCACCAATTAGCCTCTGTGCCTCAGTCCCCCCTCTCGGCTGGATGGTTACGAGGCTGGCATGCTCCACTTCCTGTCTGTGACCATGGAAGACCCTGGCAAGGAAGCAATCGGAAAAGGACAACACATGGGTGAACCTGACTGCTGCACTGTGCCAACGCCTGGCAAAACAGGACTTTGGACATCTGCTCTTCCCCTGAGTCCAACTCTTGGTCCTCAGTGTTGCAGATGGCAGAGTAGTTTCCTGCCCTCATATCAGCAAAATCATGCGGTGTCCATGTTGTGTCGTGACTGGATGGCGTTCCACTTCCTGCGTTCGCTCAATGGAGACTCTTCACAGGGCCAAGTCTTGCTGAAGCGTGTCCCAGACTAACTCAAAAGTTGGGGACATAACTTGGCTGGTTCAATATGGTCACTTTTCCAGCCAATTCAGGGCGTGTAGAACCACCAACAGGTTCAATTCCACTTCTCTGAGGAATGTGGGGTTTACAAGTTCTCCCTGTGTCTGTTTAAGGCAAGGCAAGTTTATTTGTACAGCACAATTCATACAAAAGGCAACTTAAAGGGTTGAACAGGACCCACTGGAAAATGCAATGATTCATCTCAAAGGTCTTTCCCTAAAACTTAAACTTTAACAAGATGGAGACAGTCACACAGAGCATTGAAATCATAAATAATCACAGTACAGGGCGGAGGTAAAATCCTTCAGTTTTAGGCACAGCTAAACAGAAATGTTTTTTACCTAGATTTGAACAACGTCAGAGAAGAATCCTGTTTCACATTTTCAGGAAGATTGTCCCAGATTCTAGCAGCATGAATCTGATATGCTGCCTCCCCATGTTTTTTTAAATTTCCCCATTGTCTGAAATTTCCCCACTGTGGGACGAATAAAGGATTATCTTTTCTTAGTTCTGACTCTGGGCGCCAGCAGGAGTCCCGTCCCTGTGCTCCTCCTTACGAGATTTACATAAAGAGTCGGAGAAATGCAACTTGTGGTTTGCAAAGAGACGTTTTTTATATCACATGGTGCGGTGGGCACAAACATCTGTGCAGGCAATCAGTTTGAGCTTACATCTTTTTAGAAGTTCCTTATTCAATCTGAAGAGACCAAGACAGAAACATTAATGCATGAAAAAGATGTATTTGTTTGGCGAATTGACCCCGGCAGTGACACTTGCAGAGGGGAGATCGTTTGCTGCTGTGGATGGTCCCAGATCTCCCGGGGTCACGCACTGGTGGTGGCTAGAAGCATGGTGTGAATGGGGCGTAGGCGAAGCAGGAGAAGGCAAGATTCAGATTCATTTATTTGCCATTTGCAGTAAAAACACCACATTGGAATACATTAGCAAAAGTCACCAGTGTGCACAGACTAATACAGACATAAAACAACATTAAAAGACAAAAATAAAACAAATAAAACAGTAAACAAATGTCACTGTGAAATCGATAAGGAAAGGCAAGGCAAGGCAAGTTTATTTGTATAGCACAATTCATACACAAGGCAACTCAAAGTGCTGAACAAAATAAGAAAGCATTAAAATCATAAATAATCACAGTACATTAAAAAGAAAGAAAAACATTATAAAATATAAAATTCCTCAGTTGTATGCACAGCTAAACAGAACTGTTTTTAACCTGGTTTTAAACATTGATAGAGAGGAGGCCTGTCTCACATCTTCAGGAAGATTGTTCCAGATTTTAGCAGCATGAATCTGAAAAGCAGCCTCCCCATGTTTAGTTCTGACTCTGGGCACTAACAGGAGTCCAGTCCCTGTGCTCTTCAGAGTCCGGGCTGGTTCATATGGGACTAAAATGTCTCTAATATATTTTGGTGCGAGGCCATGGAGAGACTTGTACACAAGCAGAGCTGTTTTAAAGTCTATTCTCTGAGCCACAGGAAGCCAGTGCAGGGACCTGAGGACTGGACTAATGTGGTCGTACTTCCTGGTTCTAGTCAGGACTCGAGCTGCTGCATTTTGAATGTTTTACAGCCTGTTTGGAGAGACCTATGAGCAGGCCATTGCAGTAGTCTAGTATACTGGAGACAAATGAAAGGAGAAGGAGCCAGGGCAGGAGCCAGCAAAGGAGCCAGGACAGGAGCCAGAGCAGGAGCCAGGGCAGGAATCAGGAGCTTGAGGAGGTGCTGGGGAGGCGGTGGGTGTTAAGGAAGGCGCTGTTTATGAGGAAGTGGCTACTCTTTGCTGTCAGTGGGTTGGCAAGAGGCTGGCCGGGATGCGTGATTGGCAGAGGCTCGAGGCTGGCAGAGCTGTGTGATTGGCTGGCTCTGGACGGGTGACAGCTGTGGCCGGTCTTTCAGTCTGAATTTGCACTTCAGCTTCATTATACTCTTTGATACCAGGGAGGAGGTGAAAGATCTGTTGTAACTAATGTCCTTTTGGGGAAACCAGCTCACCTCAGCTTCAGCACGTGTTGTCTTTGGCACGATGGATGTTGATGGATGTGTTTGTTTTGCACCTGAAATCGCTTAGCTCTGCGGTTCATCGCTGGCCGACGCAACATGATCTTTTGTGAATTCCTCAGGGTCTGTATTTATCTCTCAGACCTGACCTGAAGTTCTAACACACAAAAATACAGGCTTACATTCAATTACCCGACCACTAAAAACATCTACAATTGGTCCAGCGTTGACCTTTGCTGGACCTGCATCCGTCTCTAGGTGGAGTGAGAGTAAAAAGGTCACAACAGTTGTCAAGGCGCTATATAAACAAACTCACTTGCACTTATAGATACTTACACACAAGAAGTAGTAGTTGTAAGTAAGTAAGTAATCTTTATTTATATACCGCCTTTTCACTGCACATCGGAGTCTCAAAGCGGTTTACAATTGTTATTTTTGGGAGTGGGGCCAGTACAGGAGGCACATGCCAGACCTATTGTACATATTTTTAGTGGTAGGGGAAACCGGAGGACCCGGAGGAAACCTACGCAGACACAGGGAGAACATGCAAACTCCACTCAGAAAGGCCCTGGTCAAACCGGGATTCGAACCCAGGACCTTCTTGCTGAGAGGCGAGAGTGCTATCCACTCAGCCACCGTGCCGCCCGAAGTACTGTGACTCTCTCGTTGTTTTGATTCATCCTTGTCTATGAACATGATGCAGTGAAGGGGACGGTTCTCTGGAAGCTACTGTTGGATTTGAACAAAGACAAACCTGGAAGTACATGGCTAATACATTTTTCATACACGTGCACACAGGCTTTGTCTGAATTTTCTTAAAATACATTCTAGAAATCTAGTAAATCCAAGCATATCTATCTATCTATCTATCATCTATCTATCTATCTATCTATCTATCTATCTATCTATCTATCTATCTATCTATCTATCTATCTATCTATCTATCTATCTATCTATCTATCTATCATCTATCTATCTATCTATCTATCTATCTATCTATCTATCTATCTATCTATCTATCTATCTATCATCTATCTATCTATCTATCTATCTATCTATCTATCTATCTATCTATTTATCTATAATACATCAGTTTACATGAGACATTATCTTTTTTGCTTATGAATGTATGGGAGACCGTTTCAACAGCTTATTACTATCAAATGTAGTGTTCTGAAGTGTTTAATGGTCTTTAGCCATGCATGCGTTGACCCCACAGTCATAATAAGTAGGACATCGAGGAGTCCTCAGATTTCAAGTGCAAAACTCTTGGCAGTATAATCGTTTTAATGCAAGATATATTTCTGCGTTTTGGTTAAGTTAAAGGGTTTTCCTTACCACACTGCTAAAAATATGAAAAAATTTGGAACACTTGTTTGAATCAAGTATTTTTTTTTCTTAATTTGAGTTCATTCTGACTTTCTTAAACAGGATTTTTCAATGTGACAAAGCCACTCAGTCTTATTCCAACATTTGAAACATTTTTGACTTATTTTTCATAACATTTTTGCACTGCACTAGTCTTTTCTTTTGCTGTTTGGGGTCTCCATAGCAACTGGGCTCTAGTGTTTCAGTGGCGCTGTCATTAGGAGGCAGGTAAATGCACAGGTCTGTTCTGTAGGCACATCATGTTCTGATGGGACAGGGATTCCTCAGCCACCTTTGTTTGACACAGCTGCAGTCAGAATGTTCCCCACAAGAGCTGCACAGGATAAATGGTCCCAGCCCGGTTGGAGAATAGAGAAGAAATACACAAATAAGGCCCTGCTGGGAAACTGGGCAGAGGAGAGAATGCAGGTTAGTGTTCAAATTACCTCCTTTTTGCACCGACTTGCAATGAAGATTAAGAAGACCTGCTGAAACTCACACTGCGATGCAGTCACTTTTAATATTAATTGTACTGTATATGAATAACCTTGCTCAAAAGAGACTATCTTTATTCATTTTTTAACATGTTTGCACGTTTCCCGTTGGCACATTTCCTGTCTTTTCGCTCACCCTTTCTCAAAAAATTCTAAATTGTGAGATCCATAAAGTTTATCTTATGGCTGTAAGCTGTAAGCTGTAAACTGTAATGATGGAACATTCCATAAAACACGTTGGTTACGTTCATGTAAGATCATGTGAATTAATTTTTAGCCCAGACAAAGAGATATCAGAAGGTTGCATTGTTTAATTGGCATTTATTAGCAGTTTTAAGCAAAGTCCCAGACAGCTCCAAATGGGCGCTCCTGCAGATGTCTAGTAAGAATCTACATAACTCTGTGAAAGTCTCCACAACTCTGCCAAAGTCTCTACAACTCTGCCAAAGTCTGATTGTCAGTGAGAAGGATGGCGCTTATATAGGCCTTAAAAGATGACGTAAACACATAGACTTTGGAAACATGACATAGCAGAATGAACCGTATGGCTTCAATGTAAATAACACGTAGGCATAAAATGACATTCATTTTAAGCCATACAACATATGGCTTATTCACAAACCAAAGTCCAACGTATGAGATAGTATACTGTATATATTCACTGCACTGTATATATATACTGTATATTGATGCCTCTGATAAGAGTTCCTTTATTCGTCCCACAGTGGGGAAATTTTGTTGTTGCAGCGCACATACAGGACAGTAGTAAGAGCACACAGGGAGCACACAATATATACAGAATACGTACTGAAGGCAGTACACGTGATTGCATATTTAAAACTCCATGAAACTGTGTCCGTATTAATTAGCAAGCAGTAATATTTAGATATTCGCAATCACTCAACAGCAGAAGTGTCAAACTCATTTTGGTCAGGGGCCAAATAACAAGATAGGAACTGGTCCAGGGATTAAAGTGAAGGGATTTCTTTCCTCATAAACTTTTTTTTCTCTTCATTTTTACATTATGAAGCTTCATACATTATGTTTATAATTTTCAATTTTACAATAAAGTTAAAGACACTTTTTGTTAAACTTCATGATTTGTTGGTTTGCCTGAAAAAATAGAATATGTACGACATGCCTCTCTAGCCCATTACCAGCCATGCTGAAAGTTAATAATAATAATCCTTATAGGTGCCACTAAAAACTGTCTTACGAGCCAGATCTGGCAATCTCAGCTTGTACCAAGAGCGAGTTACTATAGCAACACACTGTTAGCATTTAGTTTTGCTACATTTCATTTATATAAACCGGTTTTACCATGTATTAAAGATACAATCTAAATTACACACTACTAATTCATGCTGTGGGGAACCTTAAAACTGTCATATTCCATTGATTTGAATGGGAGCCGTCAAAATGAGTGTCAATTGTTAAATCCTGCAGGTCCTAGTGTTATGTAACTCACAAAAGAACATTCTTGATTCCTTATCGGTTAATATTCCAGCATTATTGGGTGGAATATATTTAAAAATACAAATGATCTGCAATAAAGAAGATAGCCAGAACTCTGCGAATCAGCGAGACCTCCAGTTGTTTTTCACCATCTCAGCTGGTATTCAAATCTATAACAAAGTGATTAGCCAGACTCCGTTCAGCAGCATCAGCAGACGCCTGCTGGGATCCTCTGGAGGCACAGACTAATTGCATTGACGTTAACCCAGCCACAGGCCACCGCCTCAGGATCACGGCAAAGAAATGACTCCCCAAATACACCAGTGTTTATTGGTTTCAAAGTTTGAGCTCTGCTGATCCCTGGATTCTGGCCTTGTATCTTCATCCTTTTCCTTTTACTGTTTGCTTTTATTTTTTCCATCATAGTTCAAGCACGAGCCGCAGTTGTCGACAGCCCTGAGCAGCACCAGCCGAGCAGACTACAGACCACATTGGGATATCAAGTCCGACAGCTTTGAGAGTGGATCTGGACCACTGAGATCGGAGGTCAATGCTTCCACTGCTCGTTCATGCTAGCTTAACCAACAGAACTGGAGAAAGTCAAGGCTTCCTTCAGCTTTTCCAGTATTATATCGACACAGACTTTTGCTCCAACTTTGCTGGTTGGACTCAGCGGCAGCAGACATGAAACAGCAACAGTATTACACTGCAAGAAGTGATGAAAAATAAGTCAAAAATTGCACAAATCTGTTCAAAGTATTTTATTTTGAGCACGTTTGACTGCCTTTAAACAAGATTTGCCAAAGGAACCAGCAAAATTATCTTGTTTTAAAATGATACAAGAAATGGAACCTTGGAAATGAGAAAATAAAGCAATTAAGATGAAAAAAACACTTAATTCAAGTCTTTATCACGTCATATTTTATCTTTTTTTTTTTTTTGCAGTGTGGAAAAGTTTTCACAAGCATGTATTTATGGCCCTGTCACGACCAGATCAGCGTTTTCAGACAAAAATAGAGAGCACCGCCTTTCATCGGTTCTCAGTAAGATCAAAAGTTTTCTAAGACAGCACAGTGTTGGTTATATGTAATCCAGGTTTAACTGAACCAAGTCTAGTTCTAAGCTAACTATTTAAAGTGACTACACTGCTAAAAAAGATGAAATATGAGCTAATGATTGTGTGAATTGAGTGTTTTTTATCTGAAATTGAGTACATTCTTACTGTCTTAAAACTAGATTTTCCAATGGGACAAAGGCATTTAGTCTCATTTCAAAAATCTTTGCTTCAATTTTTCATTCCAAGGGAGACTTTTCTTGCATCTTTTAAAACAAGATGATTTTTTTTCCTCATTTTAAGGCAGTCTAAATGTGTTCAATTAAACATGTAGTTTTGCCATCAGATTCAGATTCAGATTCAATTTATTTGCCATTTGCAGTAAAAAAACCACATTGGAATACATTAGCGAAAAGTCTCCAGTGTGCACAGACAAATACAGACATAAAACAACATTAAAAGACAAAAATAAAACAAATAAAACAGTAAACAAAAGTCACTGTGAAATCGATCGACTAAAACAGTTCAAAACAAGTGAAAATCATTAAAGTGCTTTGTTCACACTGATAACAGCTTGTGTTATCAGTCAAAAACTGTTAGCGTAACGAGATGTCCTGCATCTCAGAGAGCGATATCTTCTGCCAGAGGGAAGAAGCTGGAACATGGCTTTCCCAGGGTGGCCAGAAGAGTCATAGACAATCCTAAGAGCTTTGTTTAAAAGTCTGGATTTATAAAGAACCTCCAGAACAGGAAGCTCACAGCCCACGGTCCTCTTTGCAGAGCGGAGCACCTTGTTTAAAGCTCTCTTTTCTTTATCTGTGATGTTTCCAAACCACACAGACACAGAACCAACAAGTAAACTCTCAATGGTGCAGCGATAAAAGTTAAGCAGAATCTTAGAGTTAGTGGTAAATTCTCTAAGTTTACGCAGAAAGTAGAGACGCTGACGAGCTTTCTTAACGACTCGGTCAGTGTTTTTAACCCATTTCAGGTCGTTAGACAGAGTTAGACCTAGAAACTTGCACTCCTCTACGATCTGCACCTGGGAGTTGTCGATTACGACAGGCAAATGAGAACTATTGCGACTGAAGTCGTAGACCAGTTCACATGTTTTCGATGCGTTCAACTGGAGGTTGTTAGTTTTACTCCACTGAACCACATTTTGTATCTCTGCTCTATAAGAGGATTCATCAGTGTCACTGATGGTGGTGTCATCAGCATATTTGATGATCAAGTTTGAGTCAGAGGAGGACACACAATCGTGAGTGTACAAAGTAAAAAGCAGGACTCAAAATACATCCCTGAGGAGAACCAGTGCTCACAGAAACAACATCAGAAAAACAGTCATTGTTTTTCACTCTCTGAGATCTGTCAGTTAAAAAGCTAAAAATCCATTTACACATGGCAACACTTAAACCGAGAGACATGAGCTTTTCAATCAGTTTACCTGGGACAAGGCAGTTTAAAGCAGAGCTATAATCGATAAAAAGCATTCTCGCGACAGATTTACTAGTGTCCAAGTGACTGTAGACAGAGTTCAGAGCAAAGGAGATGGCATCCTCCACACTCCTGTTCTGTCTGTAAGCAAACTGGAGCGGGTCAACGCTCACAGGGATCTAGCTCTTAATGAAGTCCAGCACAAGCCGCTCAAAAGTTTTCATAAGAACAGACGTGAGGGCCACAGGACGATAGTCATTCAGGCATGTCACAGGAGTTTTCTTAGGAACTGGAATGATGGTCGACTCTTTAAAGCAGTTCGGCACAGTACAGTTCCTTAGCGACAGGTTGAAAATGTCTGTTAGCACAGGGGCAAGTTGCTCAGAGCACAGTTTCAGGACACGAGGAGGGATGCCGTCCGGGCCTGGGGCTTTCCGGACTGTGGTCCTGGACAAGACACGCCTGACTTCCTCCTGAGTCACGGTGAAGGTACCTTGATTGAAACACTCAGGGAATACAGTAGGACAGGCATCAGCGGATTCAAAGCGACAGTAGAACGTGTTCAGCTCGTTTGGCAGAGCTTGGCCGACAGATTCAATTTTCCCAGCGCTAGGTTTCCACGATGTGATGGCTTTAATACCGTTCCACATGCGCCGAGGGTCATCTTCCTCAAAATAACTCTTTAACCTGTCCCTGTAACTGCGCTTTGCAGATTTAATAGAATGTTTCAATGAGTAACAGGATAGCTTATAAGCAACTGTATTATTTGATTGAAACGCCAACGCACGCTCATGAAGTTTCAGTTTCACTTCCGCGTTCATCCAAGGGTTTTGACTAAAATGTTCTTTAATGACCTTCTGTGGGACACAACAGTCAATACAGAAGCGTATGTATCCAGACACAGCGTCACAGAATTCATTGACGTCCTCTGACTGAAACACAGACCAGTCCGTAGCATCAAAACAACACTGCACAGTGCGAGAGGTTGGTTTATGTTCCCTGCTCCTCTGAGTATACGAAGGAAGAAGGAGAACAGAGGAGTGGTCAGACTTTCCAAAAGGAGGTCTGAGACTGGACCTGTAAGCTCCCTTCACGTTACTGTAGCAGTGATCCAGAACATGTGCTCCTCTTGTAGCTTGAGTCACATGTTGGTAAAAGTTCGGGAGTACAGTCTTTAAATTACATTTATTGAAATCCCCAGCAACAATGATGACTGCGTTAGGATGAGCAGACTCATGTTTGTGAAGGATCTCGCTCAGATCCTGTAGGGCTACTTTGTAATCCGCACGTGGGTGAATGTAAACAGCACATAAAAATATCACTGAAAACTCACGGGGAAGATAAAAAGGGCGACAGCTCAAGACCAGGCATTCCAGATTGGCAGTACATGTTTGGTTCACGATACGAGTGTCCGTGCACCAGCGCTGATTAATTAAAAAGCACACACCTCCACCTCTGGATTTCCCCGTGGTCTCCTTTTCTCTGTCCGCGCGGTGAACGGTGAATCCCGGGGGCTGAACAGCAGAGTCCGGGACGTTCGAGTGGAGCCACGTCTCGCTGAGACAGAACACAGCGCAGTCCCGGGCCTCGCGCTGGCTCTGGACCCGACACAGGAGCTTGTCCGTCTTGTTGGGCAGAGACTGGACGTTGGCCAGGTAGATGGAGGGCAAAGGGGTCCTGGAGGAGCGGCTACGAACGAGCAGACCGCCTCGCCTTCCCCGGTGTCTGCACCTCCTTCGCCGACTCGAGGTGCCCAGCTCCACACCGCGGAGAGAACGCCGGAGACGCCCAGTCCCCTCGCTCTGTTGGCGGCCACCGCCGCGGCCCGCCTGCCGTGCTCCACCAGCCTCTCGAGTGGGACACTCGAGGAAGTTTGTGCACCTCAGTTCAGGTAAAACGAGTGACCCGTCACCCGCGTGATCCCGAATGTGCAGAAGTGTTTGCCGATCATATTTCACTGTGGCAAGTGAATCCCAGACGAAAAACAACAAAACACAGATTGTGCGCACCAGAGCGTTCACTGCCGCGCCCTGACACGGCGCCATCTTGCTAGTCCTCATGCTCTCGCCATCACCATTTTTCAAAACTTTTTGCAGTGTAGTGGACCCATACTGAGGTGTTTGAGGATTTTACTTCTACAAATAAAGTATCTTCACTGCAAACAAAAATACAAAATTGACGTGATAATTGCTTGAATCGATTGATTTTTTTCTTCCTTTGAGTACATTCTGACTGTCTTAAAACAATTGGCATATCTTGTCTTAAGGCCGTTTTTGCAGTGTTCTAAAATCTAAACTCAAGTCAGACCAACAAGTGTGACCGTGCCTTTCCTGTTGTAAATGTGTGTGTATTTAAAAAGTGAATGGGAATACAGTTATTATTTGATCAAAATCTCGAAGGGGACAGAGCCCACAGGCTGACTTTGTCTCCTCCACTGTTTGTTATCTTCCAGGGGATTCCGGCCAAGCTGCTTTTCGCCCAGCAGAGTTCATCATCCTCTCATCGCTTGGTCACACTCTATGAGGAGAGCTACGGAAGAAGACGCACTAATGCCCTGCCAATGCTGCAGCCCTGTCATCAAAAGAGCTCAACATGTCAGCTTCAGAGGCCAAATACTGGTAATATCACGGCAAAGCTCTGCACCGGAAACAATCCCTTGAGAAAAAAAGAACAAAAAATTATGAAAATAAGTAAAATACTGCTTGAAATAAGATTTTTTTTTAACTAAGTTCATTAAGGAATGCACCTTGAGATTAATCCTCTCATTTTTGATGGGGTCCTGAACATAAATGCAAACATGTGAACACACACACACACATACACACACACACATACATACATGCATATATACATATAGTAAAAAACCATTTTCAGAGCTAGATGATGATAGCATAAACACGTGTCTGCCAATAGAACAAGCAAATAGACTAAATAGACTATTCTAACATTCTGACTGTGTTAAACAGGATTTTCCAATGTGACAAAGCCATCCAGTCTTGATTCAACATTTGAGAATTGTTTTGACTTATTTTTCATCACAATAGAACAAGCAAATATAACTTGACAAGATTTCTGAAAAGAAGACAATGATAATAGCCGAAAATGACTTGATCTAATGTACATGAAAAAGATAGTACTTTTATTGGAAAATGTTACGTTCCGGTCCAGAGACCTTCATCAAAACAATCTCTTGTACCAAAAAAATTACTTATAACTTATTACCGCAGTTCTACTCATACCCCTTCTTCACATCTCTTTTTCACAGTTTTTCCAAACCACTCACACTCTCCTCAGTTTCAAAAGGCTCATGCTGACAGTCTGGAATCACAAGTCCCATCTCTGAGCGTGTATGGGTCGACTTACCAGCGGTACCCTCTTAGTGCCTTCTGTCTCAACCGCTTTGCCAGAGCATCCCACTGGTCGTCCAGCCACCTCCACCGGGCCAACCACGTCAACAAGGACTTGGATCTGAGACAGAGACCACTGAGGCAGGTCCCGGATCAGTGTGTGAGGCTCCCACAGTGTGCCCAACACGCCTGAGGTTATCAACACAACTTTTTCACATCCACTTTTGGTATGGTATGGTTTTTATCTTCACAAGGAAAGTGTACGATTCACATTAGCCAAAATGAGAGATGCATTGTACCAGGTTGTTGCAGGAAAACTAATTTACACCTGTTGTCCCTGAGGTCAGTTTGGTCACATTTTTATATTATAAACAGAATTCCATTAAAGATTTTAATGCACTGGCTTAAGACTGTACAACACATGTGTCGTTGATAGGCACTATTGTTGGTTACTTTAAACGTTTATAATGTATGTGTTTATGTGGATGTGTTTCTGCTGCTGGACACCTGGATTTCTCCTATGGGGATCAATAAGATATTCTTTTAATAAAGTATCTGTCTATTGTATCTATCTATCTATCTGGTCCATGGTGAAAAGTAGCTCCCTGTTTTAGTGTTTGGAGAAACAGGTAACATTGAATTTGGAGTACCTAAGCTTTGTTTTTGTTTGTTCTTGTTTATCCCAACAGAAATAATCTATCTTGAGTAACATTTTTTGAACAAATCAGACCACAATATGCTGTTATTCCTTCATTAGAAAACATGTTATCTTTTACAGACTAAGAGCTGATTGAATGACAACACTGATCTGAAGATGTGTAGCCAACAATACAGTACATGCATTTAAAAACTGCAGTGAGAGAACCATGTGTTGAATTTCAGCTATAACTTTCAAATGTCTTTAAAATGGTCCATTTCTGTGTGCATATGGAGAGCAAGAACTCGCAGAGTTGTTTTTGTTGTTGACAAATTAACAAAGAAAGAATAAACAAATACAGATATACGTATTTGGGAAAAGTTTATGCAACACAATTGTATAATTTGTTTTACAGACTTTGGCCTGTGACCAGATCTTCCCCCATATTAAAAACAACATATGGGAGGACTGTGTGTTTGTTTTGTTTGATGATGTGGGGAAAAACAGATCAGTTTATGACCTTTTTCAATTATTTCCAACGATAAAATGTAATGATGCGGTGAATGTTTTATCTTGGTAATATGTAAAACATACTGTAGTAATGCTATAGGGCTGGTTTGATGAGCCATTGCACTGTAGTGTAAGTGTGTGTGGGAGCAGCAGAGGTGAGAGCCATAAATTTGTCCTGACTTTACAACAGTTAATTACGTGTCAGTCCAACCCCCTCCCTTACGTCGGGCCTTGGATGGCTTGGTTACCCTTGATGGTTTCTAAAGAGGAAAAATGTGTTGAAGTCAAAAGTGACCTGTGTGTTGTGGAAAACCTGGAGAGCAACTGCTCCAAGTCTGAGCCTGGAGGGAACTGACTGTGTCCCATTCCATTAGGTGTTTAATTACAGGAACCCCAGTGTTTCATTAGACGGAATCAGAGATGCTTATGCTTGATGGTCAACCATCTGTGAGCGGCTCTTGTTGCTGCAGCCTTTTCCCTGGAGCAGCTGCCACAGGCTTGTTCTCACCTCCTGCTAGATCCTCAGCCCACACTGCTCCTGGAGTGTGCAAATACTGCTGCAGCTTTGTCACAGTGCACGACTCTTGAGGTGGGCTGCATTTGCCTTCCCCTCCACATGATGGTGCTGTTGCAACATGTCACTCAGTCAGAGTGCAGCAGATGACAGCCTCATGAGACAAAAACTAAACCTATACATTGTCTGGCAAATGCACCATTTTGGAAAGAAAAACATGAATACGTTTTTTGTTTTTATAATTCAACTTGTGAGATTAATAAAGCATATCTTATCTTAATGAATGTGAAAAGTGATGATTTGTTTGTATGACATTTACGACATAAACACAATATATACTGTTTGTAAAGGTACAGAAACACTTATTTATACAGATTTGATTCATCTAAATCAGTGGAAGAAGGATGTGTCAGAGGTCTGTTATATAAATCAAATGTTGCCATTTACAACATGTCATATTGAAAGATCAACTGCACAAGATCACTTTGCTTTCACCACAGTGTTCACTAAACCCTCTCTCACATTATAATGAATCAGTCACTTATTGAATAGGGATGAGTAGTTTATTCTGAATGATTTATTCCTGCAGATAGTAAGGCTGAATCACAAAAAATGACATACTGTGTGTCTTGTCAGGAGGAAATGTCATGAGAAAAAGAGACTGCATAAAAAACCCATTTGCATTTTGGTTTTATCCTTATCACATTCGTGTTTGGCTGTATTCACTTCATGGTTGCTATGGTAAACTAATATAATTAAAAATGTATACAAAATAAATACGTATTGCACATATTTATATTCACCAAAATAAAATAAAAACATGTACATTAAATAAACACATTTGATAAATTTACAATAGTGTAATTTCTTAAGAAAACGTTTTTGTTTAAACATTTGAATGACAAAAGATAAAAACCAGTATTATCACACTGTTTTAACAAATGGTTATAATATTAGGTGCAACTATCTGCAAAATAAATGTTGTCTGTGACTTTAGAAAGCCATTACCTAATCTTATCATCGCTGTGAAGCCTAATCCGCGTTACACACTGGTCTGGCGAGGCTTCTTATCAGGCAGTGAGAGGACAAATGGGAATAGCATGCCCTTAGCTGCCGAGAGTACACTCAAATCCTCATCTGCAAACGCGGGAGACACCTCATCGGCATCAAAGCGCATGGTGAACTGGCGATTCACACAGAAAATACTCCCATACATCGCAACACACTGAAAAGCCGGACATCTGGGCACACGCTTACTGCTGCACTCGTACCATAACCTGGCGACAGTGTGATACCGATACACGCTGAGCCCTAGCAGAGGGTTCGCATCAAAGCGGTACAAAAACCTCCCAACTGCCACCATATCCGCTGTGCGCTCTTTACTCCCTATCAGACTCGCCTTCCAAGAGTTCGCCTGAGGGTTGTAGCGCAGTAGCAGGCACCGTAATGTCCCGCCAGAAACAAAAATGTCCCCATCGCATACCGCAACGTGATGGGCAACCGCAAAAGTGTCATTAGGAAGCGGTGCCACGAATGCCCATCTGTCCAAGCGTGGGTCGTAGCGCTCCACAGAGGATAGACACTCGCCCCCAATGGCGTAGATGCAACCGTCCAGAGCTGCCAGTTTGCACCGCGGCCTAGCTTCGATCAAAGGGCTGATCTCCTTCCAAATGGATGTCAAAGGATTGAAGCAAAACACTCGCTTTGATGGAGTCACTTTGCTGCCTGTGCGCTGGCAGCCCAACGCTAAATAAAGGTAGTTGTCGAGAGTACACAGGGCGCAAGCTTTGGAGACTACCTCAGGTGGGATCTGACATAGTTTTTGCCAAATATCTTTGTAGTCGTCGTAGTAGTATATTGCGCTGGATGGTTGCATTCCGTCAACACTTTCTACGCAGTCCTGAGGGTCCATATCGGCCACCATGACATAAGACCTCCCTTTCGTTCTCAACTTCCTAATTTGTTCCCTTTCTCCAGCCAATAATCTTCCATAAAGGTTGGGATCTCTGAGTACCTGCAAATAGTTATCCGACATTACACAGAGAGCTGCTTGCTGAAGAAATGTGTGCTCAGTTTTTTTGGCCATTTGCAAACTTTCCAAACAGTTACCTAGATGTATCTTACTTTTCAGACTTTCCAAATCTGCGCCATCACTCAACTGAAGTAGTAAAAATAAGGGTTTTGCATCTATCTCTGATTCTTGCACATTTGCTCTTTCCATTGAAGGACAGATCTTAGGGTGAACTGAGGGAGAAGTGGAGGAGTGTGTCACTGGAGTTGCGTCTTTTGAAGTTGGAGGGGGAAAGACAAGCTCAGACTGCTCGGCGGCAGACTGATAACTCTGGTTGCGTTGCAATGCGGGCCTGGCGGGGTTCCTCGGCTTGAGTTTTCCCAGCGGGGCGCAGAAATCTTGATCATAGCTTTGCGCTGAAACCAGATCGCGCATAACGATGGTGTTCATGAAGGAGACAGATTCACCAACACTGCTTCTACCGCTCGCAACCTCCAGTTTACTCTCTCTCGATTCTGTAACCGAATGCGAGGACGACTCCACGTAGTAATCGTATATCTTCCCGCGCACGACCTGATCTCCCGTTCCCTCCGTCAGCAAGCTTGCGTCCTCCACTTTGATCTCGGCCTTGGAGAGGAAGCTGCAGTGGCCCCCCTGGCGTTCTGAGTCTTGCCGGAGCTCCCTGCCCACACCCACACTCCCCTCGAGCCGCTGTAGAAAACACGGGGAGAGGCGCCCTGTTGCATTGGCCATCCCACACTCGGCTGGATGTGGAAGCTTCAAAGACGTTCCAAATGAAATATTACTGGTAGAGAGCGCTGGCTGACTGTGAAGATTGAGTGTATCATCTTTGACGCTGTTGTCGCTGTGTGCTGGGTTAAATACATTCTCACCTTTTACATTATCCTTGGGGTCTTTGCTCTTCTCTAGAACGCCATCCTGCTCATCCCCTTTTAGCTCACCGTCCACATCATCCGGCAATCCCAGCGTCGCATTGCATTTTCGACAAGTTCCATTTTTGTTGCAGCATAAAAGCCTTTTTTTGTCATTTCTTGAGCTGTAAAACTTGTACGCCCAGGAGCCCAGTAGCACCACAGCAACGGAAAGACTCAGCCTCACCAGGAGCTGCATGTCAAACTGAACACCAACCAGGTCAGCGATAGGCATAGTTGTAGGATTACGTGTGACGATCGGCTCACATGTCCTGGTTGTAGCAAAAAAAGTGCAGAGAGAACAAAACAGGTTGTTCAATATGGACAGGAGGTGATCTGAGGTGCTGTTACTCTTCAGGCAGGCACACAAGTGTAACATGATACTTCTGTTGGGGATATATTTGCATCCCTGGTATCAAATAGGTGGAGCACTTAGGCACAAGTCAGCAAGCGTCATGGATGTAGGACGGTTCAGTCATAATATTTGTTGAAGCAAGGTATTGTTTTTGTATTCATTAACTTTCAAACAGGAGCTAAAAGAGCATTATTATTCATGAAAAGGTGTGGTGAGAGCCATACTTTCCGCCTGTCACAATGTCCGTTTTTAATATTTAACAAAATACGATGATAGATGGTGACACGCACGGTCGTTTGGCCAGACTCACTGTTGGAGCGACAGGTGCGGAGCCTAGTTTGAATAAGGGGTGTGGAGTTATGATAGCTGACATTCATCAAATAACCTAATAACCAGGATGTTTGCTAAGTTGTGGTGTAGATCAAAGCCGCTCGCTGTGCCTCTCCAGACACTAACATTAAAGGTATCAAAAGTTAAGCCTAAAATTTCTGTGTGCATAACCTGTGATGTTTGTATATGTAAAAACCATGTTCAATACAAGGGTGAAAATTATGTGTGTATCAAAGCAAGTTGTAGTTAATGTTCACTCCTTGAAGAAAGCATGTCATGTTTTTCTTTTATTTTTTTTTATTTTTTTGAAGATGTATGGGCACTATCAGCAGACATTATTTGTTGTATTGTATTTTTTTTTTTTATCTTTTTGAACCCCTTGATGTTTTTACTATGGGCCTTTATTAATTGGTTGAGATGCAGTTTGATGGTAACATTACCTAAAACCAAGTGATAAAGTGAGGTAGATTTAAATTCCTAGCTTAAAGTAGATATAGTCAATCACTCAAAAGGTGATCCACCAAACCATTAAAGGGGAAAGGCAGGTCTTTAACTATTTAAAACTATAGAGAATATATAAAGGGCGTGGCAGATGGTCAGCTGCAGTCATACAATCTCTCACAGACAACAAGGAAACAGAGTCAGGGAGCACGGAAGACTGCTGAATTATTCACACTTTGTCTTCTCCTCAACATTTCTCAGATCTGAACCAGAGCACAACATGGAATACAATGCATGCTCTTGTGCAGCTGACATATGGACCAGGTTCATGTGATTTATAATACTAAGCATAATCTACAGTATAAGAGTGCAGCTGCTTAATAAAGTATACCACTCAAGTAAGTTTTGGTCTGTCAGATGAGATGTTTAAATGAAATAATTGCATGAATGATAAATGAAATGAATGAAAATGAGTCTTGCCAAAAATATCCAATGCTAATGTTATAAGCCTACTGCAGATTCTTTGTGTGTAGGCCACTTTCGTTACTCATACAACATGGATTGCTTTTTTTTTTTTACTGGATACCGACTAAGGCTTATAAGATTATATTAATAAGACAAAGAAAGTAAAGAAAGCTAGAAGTACAGCACTGTTTTTGTATTTTTAAAAGAACCATCTAAGCCTTTAACACAAGAAGATTAATGGACAGATGGACTTTTTATATTTGGATACTGTAAAATGGGGAATGAAATGTCCATGTTGATTCACCCCACTACATAGAAAACAAATGTCAGTACATACAAATACATTTCTGGATACAAACAATTCTGAGCTTTACAAAAAGGTATGGCATGAGTGACACTGTGAAAGAACCACAACTTTTTGTTTGGCAAAGCAGAGAGCCACGTAGAAAGACACAGCAGCCCTCATTGGTCCCACAGCCTCATGCTGCTTACAGGCACAGATAAATACATAGAAACTTAATATTTCTTTCTCTGGAATATACAATTTACTTGCTTGTTTTTTATACTAAAGTCAGAGATTTGACATATAATTATTGCGTCTTTATCATCCTGAAGATTTTCTACTTCCGGGTGGATCATCAAGACTATTGGTCCTCCCAAATGTCAATCATGTTGGTTATACCTGCTCGTCAAATAAGACCAGATAGTTTTGTCCAAAAACGAGAGGGCGGTTATTTCATAAAATTTGGGAAAATCCTCCTATACACTTTTAAGTTAGAGATTTTTTCTTTTTAATTATAGGTAGCAGAATAGTTTTTGTTCACTTATCTTTTGTTGTGTGCTTCTCGTTCTCTCATTCTCATTCCGTAACTGATGCAACACTGAAATATTCCCTTTGTGGGTTGAATAAAGGATCTCTTCATCTTAATCTCATTCTTCTTGAGCATGCCTGGTTTAGGATATGTAGGCGATAATGTAAGAATGTGACGTCAAATACATCCTAGTTTCAACATACATTTAGGCTGCAGGAGTCAATGCAAATGCAATGAAATTAGTGTATGACACCCAATTAAATGAACATAACGACCACAGCAGGCTATGACCTTTCTTTTTATTGTTCTGATAACCCTACTCCCTTCGTCCCGGACTCTCCTTGGGGACATACAGAAATAACTAACAGCCCAGAATCAATTTGGAATTCTTTTCAGAAATGAGTGTTGGATATGGACCTGCTCTTTGCTTCTTTGATGTGAAAACGGTCATAAAAAGCAGTGCGCCTCCAGAATCAATACGAGTATGATAGCTGAGTTAGAAACCTCCAGTGGGCGGACAGTGATTGGTCTTCTTTGCTTCTGTAAGGAAAATGTACCGGCATGACCTATTGTTAATCTTATTTGTGGAGTGCGTTTTCATCCCAAATGTTTAAATATGGATTGTACTTTGACAAGGTGAGCGTGGATCGCAGACGAACAGGTCGAGCCATCCTGTTCAACTAAGCCTCGAAAAAAAAAAAAAACTCTCCTTTTTCACCTCCCTTCTGCCTCAGACCATCGGTAATCCTTTAATACGCGTTGTGTCCTCAGAAAAGCTTAAATTGGAATTCCAGTAAAGGTCTATAAAATGCTGGATCATTTGTATTGTCACGGTTCAGAGCGAGAAAGATATGTAAAGGTTGAGAGGGTCGGGAAAATATTCAGTCCTCGTGATGATGGAGCAACAACCAAATACTGCGGCCTTACGAATGGGCTTAAAAGGATTGTTTAAAATCTCTATACCACAGCAATGTCAAACTATTTCAGCAATGACATGCAGTATAGAAGAACATTTTTGAAGGCATTTTAAGGCATTTCCCATTGTAACCTTCTTTCCATTATTTAGACAATTTCCGGCCAATTTTGTCCATGTCCAGTTTGAACAGACGTCCAGACTTTAGACTCAGTCCAAAGGCCATCTCGAAATATACCATGTTTTCTAATAAGACAACAAAACATACCTTTACAATACTTCCTGTTCTGCAAAGAAAAACAAATAGCAATGAAATTTAAAAATACCACAGGTTTTCCTCAACTTCTTTATGATCCTTAATTATTTTGTACTTTTTGCTACTCTATTATGCTAAAGTTAGAGATTTAGAAGTGAGTTATTTCTTTTGTGCAGTGTGTTCTTCATGCCTACTGTTCTATAACCGGTGATGAAACACTGAAATTCCCCCACTGTGGGAAGAATTGTTATTCTTAATCTTAATAACCCTGCTTTGTGCTTGGGTTCATCTGAATGTTTTTTTTGCCTGGATATGTGTACAGTTTGCATTTCATAAAAAAGTGATAACAATAAACCACTAGATATAGAAAAATGGTACATGAGCTGAAACTAAAAGCCGTCAATTTGACTGCTCTGGGAGTTATTGAGTTAATCACTAAAATATTCCATGATTGAGGAGGAGTCTATAGTTTAAACCGTTGTGCGTGATATTTCAGCCAAAGTAATAACTTATTTATCACAGGAAGAAGGTATGGGACCACAAAAAGGGACACCGTCAAGACAGCTGCACACTTTTCTGTGCTCTTTCATTAGTACAAACGATATACTACCACTGGAACAAATAGCAATATGACTTATCCCAGAATTGGCAATAAAGGCTGATAACATCCCTTTGAGAACATTTATATAAAAACTACTATTTCCGTTGAGATTGTTGTGCATGTTTCTCACACAGAGTCCATAACTGCGCCTCAAAGCTTTTGTTTTAGTTTTGATTTCTTGTCAAATAAGATTCTGTCTGTTGTCTATCCAGGATTTTTGAACGCCTTCATGCGATCATAAGTGTCATCTAAACAGAGCGAATGATAACGTTTTAGAAACATTTTAGAATACTACATCCAAATACTAGTGTTTCATTGGATTTCAGTAATCTTATTCCGAATAGGAAGGCATGCTTGTCATTTTCCACACATTGACTTATTGAAAGAATACCATGTCATGGATGAAATAATCTTCAGACATTCATACTTAAAACCTAAATTTAAATTACAAAAATATAAATACCCATATTTGACTGGTCATACAGAAATTTTGACACAATTATGACATATCTCCTCCGCTATTTACGAGCAGGCTAATCATAAATCCTATTATCTGTACAATATGTCATAATAAAACAACAATTAAACAATGACACTGTTATGGTAAAAAAAAGTAGGATTTTTTGGTTGGATGCATTAGCTAATGCATGTACCCAAGAACCCCAACAAGCAAATATGCCACATTGCCAATTTGGTCGTTCAATACTGCTTTCTAGAAATTGTATTTTTATGTCTTGGTTTTACGGGGTTAAGGTTAGTCAGTTTTATGGAGATCACAAAAATGGCTCAAATTTGGCAAAATGTATGTTCATTCTAGTCATTTTGACCGACTTACATCAAGATTTGCCAATGGGACAAGCAAAATGATATTGTTTTCAAAATATACAGGACATTTCTCCCTTGGAATGAGAAAATAAAGCAACAGACTAAATGACTTTGTCCCATTTGCAAATCTTGTTTTAAAGGACAACTCACCCTCAAATCCACTTTTTTTGCTGATAAACGAGTATGAGTGTCCAATAGTGTTGTCTACATATCCTGGTCATAATTTTGTCACTTTGGTTCAAATTAGTTGAAAGTTAAACTTTCTGCCTAAAACCGTCTGTGAGGCGCCATCTGCTGGCGACCTGTATTACTACATTTGAATTTTGAATCTGGCGCCAACACTGGCACGGCAGCAAGACCTGACGTCTGAAGCAAGACCTGACGTCAGCAGCCCCCCGCCCAGAGCAATGTAAACGGCCCAGACTCGTTCACGCCCCCTTTATTCCTCCAGGCTACGCCCATTTAGAGGAAGATTTGAACAGGAAATGTGAGTAACGTAAGCTCCGAGGAGCGGGGGTGAGAACCACTTTAAGTCTGTCAGAATGTACTCAAAATATGATAAAAAGGCATTTAATTCAAGCAATTATTACTTCTTATTTTATATTTATATCAGTGTATAACTATAAAATAATGTTAAAAAAGCCAAACCAAGTCGATAGAAAGTTCATAATCTCTCAGTTTTTAATACAGATGAAATGAAACAAATGCAACAACCCTGTTTTACGCGCGCTGCCACACGTGAGCACCTCTCCAGAGATGACGCTATAAGAAAATGAGCTCATGGGTACCGCGGATGCCTGGGTAGTACTTACGTATTGTACACAATGCGGGTCACTTAATTATGTCACAAGTAAATAGCTTTGATTACAGGTCGGTGAGGATGAGCTGCGGTGCCGTCATTCAAGAACCCAGAAAGAATGTCACATGCACCAGGACCTTTAAAGCAGCAGATATTTTTAACACTAGGATGTCTTTGAAAATCTATAGCCATATTGATATAAAAGCTAAAATCATAGTACAATTTCTGTTCTTTGTCTCTGAAAGCGTCGGTGAAAAACAAAGAAATGTGACTATCTCCGCAGAACCAACCCTGTACCAACACCCCATATAGCTTTTTTAATTATTTTCAATATTTACACTGATGTACACAAAATACACTCAAAAAAAGGAATTTTTTTCTAGTTTCTCTTCAACCTTTGTACATTCCAGGCCATTCAGAACAAAAGGGGAAACAAAAATATATTGATAAAAATGCCGGTTTAATCCGTCACGGTCCATCCCAGGTCGGACAGTTACTTTTCAAGTCGCCATCACAGCACGATTAAAATCCTTTTTCATTTTTTTTCTCCATTCAGCGGACACAAAAACAAAAGAAGGTGATTGTGGGTGGGGCTTATATAGAGGGTGGCCTAGCATCATGGTCTGGTTTCAAATGTTCAGTACAAAAAAGTAGATTCTCCACTTTTCCGCTCGACGTATGGGAGAGTTGATGACCGAAGAAGGCTTGCAGGATTATACTGTTTGTTTTATCCACATTGAGTAAGAAGTGTTTGTGTGTGCGTGTATTCGGTCCAAGTATGAAGATTTCACGTCAGTCCAGCGGTCACTGTGAGGACGAGCGTCATCCACGTTATCCCAACAACCTCCAATCGATAGGCTCCATCTGAAAAGGGGAAACATTTGAGAGTAAATCAAAGAAAAGAAAACAAAATCTTATGGTATGGTATGATATGGTATGGTTTTTATTTTTACAGGGACAGTGTACAATAAACATTAGCCAGACGGAGAGATGCATTATACCAGGTTGTAGCAACAGTGCTAATTTACACCTGTAGTCCCTGAGCAGGTTGTTGTAAAACAGTAAAATAAAAGTAGATGGGTACATTACCATACATTATCAGACATACAGTACATTACAATTTATTTCATCACAGATTAGAATATAAGTAAAATAAAACCACCCAGCCCCCATTCTTTACTTTCATACAATCCTACACTGAACTAACTCTCTCACACACACAACATAATGTGCAAAACTTGTTTCATAATAGAGATTCTCAGCCTCATTAGGCAAAATAAGTGCCTAAAGTAGCAATATGTACTGTAAGATTTTCATGCCAAGTCATCATTAAATGGCCCTAATATGTCAAAATGCATTAATAAACCTTGCTCTTTTCCAATACTTCTTTAACTGACAACAGTAGTTCAGCCGAGATTTTTGAATTTCAAAATTAGTTTTACAGCCCCTAAATCTTGTTATTTTTTTTTCATTTTGATGTCCCGCCCTCCACCGTTTCACCAATCAGAATGTCTGTGATCCAGGTTGCCAGAACTCACTGAGTCGTGCTAATCTCACTGGTAAAGTAACATGTGGTCGCAGAACTAAAAGATGTCTCGTTATGATTATCAAATCATTAATGACAAAACGCAGAATAAAACCAGGGTTTCTATCCGACTTGTGTGAAAAAGGCGTTGCAGATTTTCTGTTGACAAAACTCTTGTCAATGCAGATATTATGGTCCTAGCTGGATTCGTCTGCATATCTGGCAGACGACTTGAGTCAGAATGTAGGAGAGGTTGCAGTACCACTTTCAGCCATATTTGTACATACTGTATTGCTCCTTTAAAATCAGTATGTATCTCAGTGCAAGGTGTTACTATTTGGAACAACTTGCTCATGTTCAAACTTGTTTCACTTGAAAGTGCTATATGCTTCATTTGCTAAATATGTGCTTTTAACATTATTGTCATTAATATCAATATTTAACAAATGTCCTCAAAAAGTGGATGATCACGTCCTGTCATGAGCTTGTTCATCCATAAAGCATCATCATTGGTCCCTGCAGTCTCAGCTCGTCATGTGCCATCTGCTGCCTGCAGCTCTTGGCGCGGGCTTCCCTGTTCTCCTGTCAGACAATTATTTTTACAGGCAAGCAGCGATTGGAGTTGTTATGGTCTTACTAAGTTTTGACAGTATAGCTAGACTTGAAATCCACCAGCTTTAAATACCAGCTTTAATCTTTGTGAATCTTTGGCCCAGAACTCGAGGGAATGGCCAGCAGACTTTTGTATTTCTTAAGGCATCGATCATAAGGTCAGTTCTTTTTATTTAAAAATTCAAACAGGGACACATTCCAATATACATTATTCTCAAAGGACAGCTGCACTGTAGAAACCGTGATCAGAGTAAAAAGATCCGTTCTTCACATTCACTCCAGTAACCACAGTCCTTCTCACCCAGCAGGACAGGACCCCGATTAGGGAGCAACCTGGTGAGTGACTGAGGGGAAAATGCTGTTTTTGCAATACGTAATAGAACGTGATTCCACATCCTCTGTGTCCGCTCTGTGCCAACTCCCGGAGTAATTCTGACAAAACAGAGACACTGCTTGTTGCCCCTGACAACTTCATACCAGGAACCGGAGGAGACCCATCTTTCCAGATTGTTGCTCCCAAGCTGGAAAGATTGACTCTTTCAAAACTCATCTAAAAACAGTTATTTGTCATTGCTTTTTCTAGATTTCTCTTCCAGTTGTTTTTAATCTTTTTACTGTTGAAGACACATTTTAAACTGTAATTCATCTGCTTTAACTGTAAAGCACTTTGTGTCCGTGGTCTGTGAAGGTGCTGTATACACAATATATACACAACATTGTGATGGGAGACCTCTGCAAACACCCAGTGCCAAACTGCCGTTGTGCCTTAACCAGTCTGTGTCGATGGCACAGACTGGTTAAGGGCACAACAGCAGTTTGCCTCACTTCTATCAGTGGGCCACAGGGCGGCTATGGCTACAGTAGTAGTTTATCATCACTGTGTTTGGAGAATATCCTACAATCAATTTACAGACCATTTGTTTTTTATTCAATTTCAATAATTCTCATTCATCTGGAATACATGTGAAAGCCTATACTGTGTAAGTTTCTCCAGGCGTCATCACCTCTGCAGCTTCATCTTTTTTCCTCCAGTGAGAGTTTTCTTTCATTATAATTATACTCAACATGTCCTCTTGAAAGCTTCATTCAAAGATGAATGAACATTGCTCTGACCACAGTGTTTCCATTTGACAGGACTGAATATGCCACATACAGGAAGTGGTCAGAGAGAGAGTGGGTCATAATAGTCTGTTATCCCGAGGGCGCTGACCTCTGGGGCTGGGCTGCATTTGACTTGCATGTAAAGTCCCTCGCTGACCTGGATCTGTCCTTGCACTGACACACCTGCTCCTGAGCTCACTAACACATTTGCATATTTAAATTTGCATCCCAAAGCTGCAGAATGTTGACAAAAATAAGCACAAATGAAACATGGAATTAATGAAGGGGAAGTGGTGTATCTCCTTTGCCTATGATCTATGTTGATAGATATTTTGATAAATTGATAAATAATCAATTATAATCAACAATCAATCGTTTTGCTGAAGAATTAGTTGAAAGCTAGTTTGGCTATGTACTACAACTTCAGGTAATCAAGCAGACGCTTTTTTGTTTTGTTTTTTGCGTCTGAATCGACGAAAAGCAAGTGTATGTTTAACGTGTCCATACGTTTATCTCTGCCATCTGCTTACAAGCTGTTCTCACTTTGCAGAGGGTAGACATTCACCACACATAACACATGCAGTGTAGCAATTATATATTTAAAATGTATAATAGGTTAGCATTAGCCCGGTGGCAAGATATGAACTAATACATTGGTTTTATTCAGTGCTTTTGAGGACACTCAAAGACACTTCACATGTCAATATTGTTTCACTCTATACACACTGGTGACTGTAGCCACATCTGCCCTGGGGCACACTGACAGAAGTGAGGCAGCCAGCATGTGCCATCAGCCCCTCCCACCACCAACAACCATTCATGCACACACCAGACCCTTTCTAATGTGGCTGAAAAATCTTGCCTAAAGACACAACAACAGCTTGTAATTTTTCAACTGCAGCCGCCCCACTGTGGCAACTGGTGTTCCCAGAGGTCTCCCATCACAGTACTAACCAAGGTCGGCCCTTCTTGGCATTGAAGGTCTGACAAGATATGGCTTTCACATGCAGGTGGCAAACCGCTTGAAGTTATTGCAGGCCTATTATCAACGACTTAATGGTCTAATGCCTAGTTTTGTGTAGTTTGTAGACATATAATCAAATAGTTGTGTTGTGCATTTTGTCAATGACATAATGTTGTTCATAAAGGTGATTTTGACCGATTACTATCTTACTATGATAAGTCAGGGTTTTTTGTACTTGAGTCGTGCTTCTTCATTATGCTAAAGTCGGAGATTTTAGACTTCTTCCCTTTTTATGCTAACGATAGGGATTTTAATTCAAAAAGGTTAATTTTGTCTTGAGTTAAAAAGCTTTTAGTGGTTCTTTTGACATACAAGTTTAGATGTATTACCTTGTTAAAATGATTCGGCTGCAGAGTCAGAGAGATTTTAAACTGCTTAATTCTATGCTTGAGTTAGAGATTTTATTTTGTTATAATGTATTTTAGTATAAAGTTATTATTCATTTATCTTGTGCTGTGTGCTCCTCATTCTCATCCTCATCCTACAGTCTGTAATTTGCGATGCAACACTAAAATCCCCCCATTTTGCGACGGATAAAGGTGCAGTTCACGTCATAATGCAACCTGGTTTGGAAATATCACACAGTACAAGGGCAGTGAATCCTAGCAACAGGAGAGTGCTGTACTCTGCCTATACATTAACCTTGGCACCTAAAGTATTGCATTTATTTTGAGTTCCATTGATGTGACAGCACAGCATTTGTGTAAGCGCTCTTTGATGAAAATGAAGGATCAAGGACTGAAATTGGTGTTTTAGTTGCAGCAGCAGTGAGAAAACAAGGTGAGCTCTGGGCAAAGTCCTCACAGCTGCAGTCGTGAGCAAACACTGTCCTCTCTGCAGCTTGTGGCGTTTGCGGTTTACTGCTGCTGCATGTCTCTCTCATCACTAGGCTACACAATCCTAGGCTACACAATCGGCTAGACAATCCTAGGCTACTAAATCCTAGGCTACACAATCCTAGGCTAGACAATCGGCTAGACAACCCTAGGCTACTAAATCCTAGGCTACACAATCCTAGGCTACGCAATCCTAGGCTACACCATCTTATGCTACACAATCCTAGGCTACAGAATCTTATGCTACACAATCCTAGGCTACACAGTCCTAGGCTACGCAATCTTTGGATACACAATCCTAGGCTACACACTCCTATGATAGTCAATCTTATGCTACACAATCATAGGCGACAATATCCAAGGCTACACAATCCGATGCTACACAATTCTAGGCTATACAATCTTATGCTACACAATCCTAACATAGACGCAATCTTAGGCTACATAATCCTAGGCTACATAATCCTAGGCTACACAATCCTCGGCTACACAATCCTAGGCTACTCAATCTTATGCTAGGCTTCACAATCCTAGGGAATACATATCTTAGGCTAAACAACTCTATGCTACACAATCCTAGGCTACACAATCCTCGGCTACACAATCCTATGCTATACAATCCTATACTACACAAATCTACGCTGCACAATCCTACGCAACACAATCCAAGGCAACACAGTCCTGGGCTACACAACACTACACTATACAATCCTATACTACACAACCCTACACTACACAACCCTACACCACACAATCCTACGCTACACAACTCTTCACTACACAATCCTACACCATACAACCCTCCACTACACAATCCTACGCTACACAACTCTACACTACACAACCCTACACTACACAACCCTACACCACACAACCCTACACCACACAACCCTACACCACACAACCCTACACTACACAACCCTACGCGCACAATCCTACACTACACAACCCTACACCACACAACCCTACACTACACAACCCTACGCGCACAATCCTACACTACACAACCCTAGGCTCACAACCCTACACCACACAGGTGAGACAATGAGAGTCTTTCCTCACCAGACTGTACTGAGATGTGATATTGACTGCAGTGTACTTGGTCACACTTTGCAGGTCTCAGATTGAACTCAGACACACAAACCCTGGACCTGTAATTGCTGTGTGCGCACACATTTGCCTACTGTGCAACACAACACGTGCTGTGTGTGTTGGCGGGCCTGCACGACTGTCATACAAAATTAAGACAATGGCAGAGTCGTCCAATTATGTACATATGACATTTTAACACACACCCAGGTCACAGGTCACCACATTTACACAGTACATGGGCCCACACATTTTTTTTGTAGAAAACATAGACATTTTCAATAAATAAATGTGTTTTGAAACGTACAAACCCATCATATTTTCAAATCTACTTCCGACTTCTGGACATTTTAAAGTTTCCGTTTGGTCATTATTTCCATGTGCGATATGGAACATGGCTGCCAGTGCTGCTACAATCTCAGCTTGAATTATTTATTTTTAATACAAATTCTCCAAGGAGCTTGAAGGACGTCATTTCAGAGATCGATGCCTGCTGACCACAATATTACCAACCATGTTACAATATGTTGCTAAACTGCATATAGTCCCAGACTGAGCAGTCACCAGTTTGGCATCCATCAAGGAAAGCAGCCCTGATCACTGATCACAGGGTCTGCAGAAACCGGACTGAAAGACTCAAGGCCAGTTTACACACACTTTGATCAATCATGAAAAGTGTATTGGGCCAGTTATCCCAGTCTTTATCCTCCCATGAAAACAGGCCTTGAGTCATGACAACAGCAGAGATGGAAGTGAAAAATACAGCAGACTCCACCCATTGCTCCAGGTCAGTCCAGTTTAACCTGAAGATTTGAGGAAAAGGGTGGAGTCTGGTGAGCTCCTGCTTAGAACAAAAGCCTGCAGCCACACCAGCTCTTTATGGAACCAGTTTGACTGTTTATGGAACCAGTTTGAGTTTCTATGTTTTAGACTCAATAAAAAATAACCCACAATGATAATATACTTACTGTTAGGATTTTGGGTGTTCTTCATCATGCTTGGGTTCTCTGAAAGACACATGAGGAAAAAAAAAGAGTTAATTTTGCATGAATGTGTTCATTCTGGAATCGTTTCTTACATGTGTAGTTCACTACATTTACCATTCACACACTTCCATATGCTATCAGCAACACATACACAAAACTAAACAAATATATTTACCTATTTGTTGAATATGGACTTAAAAATAACGTTGGCCGAATCAGATACAGTACATGGCTGTAAGTGTTATAGCACAGGGGGCTTTTATACTACATTCATACAATTACAGTCTATAATTCATGCATGAGAACCACTCTGTCTCGATCTTAACCACTGTTTGAGCTTTTTAGTGCAGTGGGGAGAGAGTTCCACAGTTTAACGCTTGAACAGGAAGACTGGCCAAAGGATGTTCTGAGCTTTAGGAGCACACAGCCCAGAGAAAAGAGGGGACACACTAACATATGTACACATGTGTTTCATTTGTGTCATTATCATGTGCCCAGAAGGGAGTGGAAAGAAGAAAAACATGTTGTGTTTCATCATAAGTAATCCAAAGAACAACAGCAAATTTCATGGAATAAACACAAAAAACACAACTATTTTCCTTTGGTAGAGCTCTTGGACTGATATTTTTTTATTGTTCATAGACCTTTACCAAATGGTTTAGATGCAGTCTGATGGTAAAGTGCCTGAAACCACCTGAAATGCCCAAAAGAGATATATTTCAGTTAAAGCAGATCTTCAAAATGATCTACCAAATGATTGAGGAAACCATTATAAGGTTAAACTAGTGATATATATACAATTACACCAACATAATTATGGTTTGTAAAGTGCTGAATGTAGTATACTTTGTCCTAACTGTGTTCATAGTGATCATACAAATGAGGGGATCATTCAGACACACATTACTCAGCTTCCCACACGATAATAGACATTCCATCTATGGCAGTATGCAATAATGGACCATTGAACAAGCACCAAAGTTTTCTCGGAGATAGAATAGTTTGTGAATGCTTTGCTTGGCTGTCAATTTGCATATGAATTCATAGTTGGTGTTTATGCATATGTAGCAGTTTGGCATGGCTGGCCACTCAGTGCTGACTCACTCCACAGTAATCGGAGGGTATTAACACAGAGGGAGGCTAAAAATGCACATCATCAAGACGATTCTGCTGGAGCCTCTCCTCAGCGCACCATCATTACACTCTATTATTCCTGGTGATGTATATTGAAGATTGTGCCAAGCCCCAAATACTTTGAGCTCATCAACCCCCAGCCGAGAGGAGTGTCTGATGGTGCGGCCGCGGGGGACGTTGCCAAGGTCGCTTAATCACCATTTAGTGTGAGTGAAGAGGCTCTACACAAAGCACAGGCGACAGATCAGCTCACTGCATCCGCCACCGAGACCATGACACCTAAAGGTGCATCAGCCTGTTAAATACACATTAGGACTATTTCCCAGCCAAACACTTTCCAAGGTAATACTTCTCTAAAGTGCTATGTTCTTTTCAAAATGGCTGACAGCTTCACTCTCGACCAGAATAATGATTCTAACATTTGCTATGCACTTATGTAACACAGGACTCAAGAGTGATGGAGGTGGAGGATCACGGAGCTGACTCTTATTTCTTACGTACATTTCTGCTCCTTCAGTGAGAGGTCCTTTTGAACATGCTTCCTGTAAGACATCGTACTTTCCACTCTCTGATACTGATACCCAATTATCAGTTATTAAATGTTATATTCAGTAGTTGCGTGTAAATTTCCTACAATGTTTAGTCCGCTCTTTGTTCTGCTTCTAGGATAAATACTGTTTAAAGCATCATTTTTCCAAACCTCTTTCCACCCAGTGGGAGCTTCGGGGCACATCATACCTGGCTCTGGCCACTGAACAAAGACAGCAGTGTTCCCCATGTATTCACTTTGATTCAATAATAGCCCTCTGATGCCACGACTGGTGTGTTAGCTCAAAATGGGCTGTTGATCAAAGATTCCCTGAATCCCAGTCTCTTGTCCATGGCATTCTCCTCACTAAGTGCAGCTTCATAGCAGCATTGTGGCAAGACAAAATATCTTTTTAATTATACTCTTAGTGGCATTAATGATTCAAAAGGATAGTTGGCCGCATAAATGGCACAGTATATTACAGAGAGAAACGTATGATAGATGTTTTAGAATGCTGCTTTATTGCTTAATTGTGAAGCATTTGTCTCCTGGATTATTGTCGCACATTTACAACTGCTTTAAATTATTAATCTGCATCTTGCTAAAGACCATTACTTTTCTTTACAAACCTGTTTAGGCAGACTTTCAGGCCAGCACCTTGTAAACAAGCAGTGAGAGTGATATAAATGTGCAGCTTTCTTTTTGTAGCAGTGAATGGGCCTATCGCTCCACAGGTGCTGACAGAGTTCCACTGATACACAAACACCCTGTGCTCCTGACTCCAGCAGGGATGTAGAAAGTATAGGGGGTGGACACTTTGTTAATAATCCGAGTACATACACAAGTTTATGTAGAGATTTGAAACTAAAATGGTGGACTGAGGCAAAGGTCTTACAGAAGTCATGATCAAACCTTTGTGTCTAGAGCAGCCATCACAGTTAAATATCTTTAAAGTCAAATGAATGAACCAGTTGCTGTTGCTGCAGCATTTTCCCAAACCTTCGAAATGTTGAATGAAATAGGTCTATAATTGCCAACCTGATTTCCAGATGAGACATTTTTATTAATATTCAGGGAATTCTTTAAACACAAATGTGTGTTATGGGCTCATTAATGTGTGTTTCAGGCTGTGTATGCCAGCTTAAGATTTCTACCAAAACAGCAAAGTATGAATTGCAATTCGTCATTTTCAATCATTTCTGCCCATCAATATGTAGATGTGGATAATTACATGCTTCACCACTTGGCACAGAATTTGTTCCGATCCAGGGTAAAAGAGGACTGTATTTCTTGATTTAATTGGCTTGGAGTCAATTAAGTCATTCAAGTCAAGATCCCTCTTTACATCAGTGACCGAGCTCGTCATATAATATGCAGCTATATTGAAACACATAACAATTAAACAACAGAAAAAAAAAAAACTTTTTGTAGAGAGTTTTCCCTCCGATGGCTCTCTGTGCATTTTAGGATTGATTTTAAGCCTGTTTTAAAGCTTGCTTAGGTCTGGCTCCAAGCTGAGTTTACATGTTAAACTCTGTATATTAAAATCATCTATGGGCTTTAGCTTCTACCTATTCCCTTTTCAGACAATATTTCAAGCTTATTTTCCAAGTGCCTAACATTTTCAGAATTGTCCAAAATAAGAGCCCCCCCTGCAGCCGTCGATCCCCCCTGTTTACCGTTTCAAGAGCGACGCTCCGGACAAAAGGTGATCCAGTCTTATCAAATCGTGTTTCCGGAATGACCTCCCGAGAAATTAAGGCTCGCACCATCAGTATCCTGTTTTAAATCCCTTCTTTAAACCCACTTTTATCAAAAAGCCTTTCTTCAAATGTCAGTTTTAAACTTCACGTGTTGTATTTTACTTTTCCACATTGTCTTTGTTTTGTCTTTCTTGTTGTTTGCCCTCTGTCTGCTTTTTTTTTCATGTATCTATTTTTGAGATACCAGAGAGTAGCTTCAGTGAAAAACGTATTCACCCTCGCTGTGTGAAGGAGGGGTTCCGCAGGTCTTTCCTTCCTGCTACTGTCAAGACTGTACAATGACAACTACTGAGTCTGTACATGTCATCTCATCTGTAAATAGTATACTATATAGTATATATATATATAATAGTATAGTAAACTGCAATCAGGTGCAGTACTTCGACTTTGTATTGTAGTAAGATAAAATAAACTCTAATAACTGTTTATATATATTTATAATCTTTAAAAATATAAAGCTGGATAACCTGTATATTTAAATTTGTTTTATATATATTAAAAAACTGTTTTTATCTCCTTTATTTTTTTAACGTTTTTTTTGGTGGAAAAGATGGATAAAGATAAAGATGTATTATTATTACTATTATTGATATTATCCAGCATTTGGTTTGTGCGTCTTACCGAACACTATGAGGCGTGTGTGCGTGTCGGTGGATCCCAGTGGGTTCTGTGCGGTGCAGCGGTACATGGATCCGTTCAGTTCCGCCGGGACTCTCTCCAGAATCAGCTCTCTCCCCTCCTTCTCCGAGCTGCCGTCCAACAGCCGACCCCCCACACGAGTCCAGGTGAACAGCGGCTCCGGGAACACCTCATTCTGTCCAGAAGAAAAGAAAAGAATAAGAAGACCAAACCGTCATGAAAAGTCTGGGAGTCTCAACCGGTAGATTTAGAGCAAAGGCTAGACATGAATAATGCAGGCCTCCAATTTCCCCTTAATGCAACTGCGAGTTAACAACATGCATTAATAATCGACACTTCACTTTACAACTGTTTCCCCGCTCCAGCTCCAGAGCGCCCTTCACACCAATTTTAAAATTTAAAGCACAGCCCACCACCAGTGTCTCTTCTGAGGTTGACAGGAGCGGCATAATACGAGAACACAGGACTCCCTTGTGAAAACGAGGGTTTGAGCGCTCAATCCGCACTCCACAAGTCCAAAAGCTATTTCTTCATCATGCTCCTTTGTAAATGTCCGTATTAAACCCGTATGAATGTTTCCCCACTGCTCAGCGTTGTGGGTTGTGAAATGGCTGGTTATGAATTGAAAAGCCTTAGTTTAATTGCTATAACACGCTTGCTGATGGTATTGGGTAATGACTCTCAATGATCTTGTTTAAATCAATGGGAGTCAATACCCAATGGAAGCTTGCAACTTCATTTGTGAATAGTCTGGAGGAATAAATACAACTTTTATTGAAGAAAAATGTGATTGTCCAAAAAAGGAGCAAATCTGGAGAGCATATGTTGTGTGGCCTTTTTGACATATTTTTTTCACTTAAAGGGCCCATATCACGGTTTTTGACTTTTCTCTGCTTTAAACATGATTACAGTGCTATTTGGCCTTCATACACAAGCCCACAGTAGTTTATTCATTGATTCTGTCAATCTTTTGTAAGAGAGCAATCTGTCTCCTTCCCCAGCGTGAGGCACAGAAACGCTTGGGTCAACTTCAGTGACAAAAACCACACTGATGACGCGCATGACCCCGTTTGCTTTGTATTTAAAATAGTTGTTAAATACTTTTGTCAAAACGGGGTAAACAATACACAATTAGTATGCTGTTTTTTGTCAAAAATAATAAAAATAAAAATAAATTAAAAGCCGGCGGGAGGTGATTGACGGATCAAAACAGCAAATCAGAGCGCACAGGCTCCGGCTCCCGAGTCCAGCGTTTGTGGTCTGGTCTCGCGGACACCACATAGAGCTGCTGTTTTTATGCTTTTGTCAGCAACTAAAAGTGTTAGGATCACGTCAACTTGAATGTAGTGTGTTATGGGTGTAAATATGTGACACACTATTTGGCCCGAAGAGGAAGAAAGCGGCTCGACTTTTTTCATCTGTTCATCTCATGGATCTATTATAATACCACCATTAAAAATAACACTTCACTGAGACTGTTCCAGAACTACAGGTACAATGGAACTGGACTTACTCAAAGGCTGATGTGGAAACACGTTATTCCCACGGTAAAAGACGTAACTCGGACCCCCTCGATCTGTAAGTAGTGACGCTAACTCGTATACTTCTGTAAACTAAATAACTAGGGTCTGATTGTGCATCGAGGACATAGGGCTCGATGTGACGGATTGTCATTGTTGGAAAAAGTTTATTCTTATGTATGAAATTACTAAGTACAGGTGATAAACGACAAAAGCGTGATGCTACGTCACCGTGCGGGCGGGGGGAGGCGGGCTCACAGGCAGAGGAGCAGACTCTTCTCTGGATCAGCTCGTTTGAGTCGAGGTGACGTCACCTCTATACAAGAGATGGCTCTAATCTCACAAGCTTTGATTGTTGTGTGGTGTATCATACACATTAATATCACACATGTGTATAGGATTGACTGTGAAACATGAAGAAAAGCGTGATATAGGACCTTTAAAGATGCAGTTAGCGATGTTGTTAGCTTAGCTGAAGCACCAACTCGAAACCACTCCGAGCTTGTGAGGGAACGCTTTGTTTACTGAAGGCGTTACTTCTATTTGTATTATTATGAAAATTCTATTACATTTTAAAACTAAAGTCGCCATCACGCTGCAGTTGATTACAATAGATTACAAACTTAAGCAGTTAGAACAAAGTGTGCATGGCTAAAAAAAGGCCAAATTAGATTGTGCAGTTAATGTTTTAAAGCTTTCCAAGGTACTGCAGGGGAATTATATGTGGAGCTATTTGGAATAATAATTGATAGTGATTCTTTTTTGTTTTGTTAGGAAAAATGCCAAGGTCTAATGACGTTTCAATCCCACAACAGACTTTATGTTAAAAAATAATTCAGTGGATCGAAGAAATGTGGAGGCACTAAGTACAAGAGGAGCCAAATATGACTCTGGTAACTTTTGCCAAAACTTTATCCAAGCTGAGTTAGGCTGACAGAATAATGGCACATTTGCCAAATCTTAAAAGCCTTTTAAGCACCAGGATCACTGAGTACCAGATGTCAACAAGCCACTCATTGGACTGACAAGCAGCAGATTTACTGTTGCTGGAGTGAGTTTGGAGCTACCGTTTGGCTTTTGCTCAACTTCAAATGGATTTCACTTTCTCATGCAGAAGAAGAAGCACGCCTGGAGCATGTTTGTTGGCTCAAACAAATACATTGTATGGTCTGACCTTTCAAAAACAGTTAATTAGAATGGACTTGTTGAGAACCCTGCTGAAGGGCTGTGCAATAATTTCAAATATCAAAACATATCATGGGAGTGTGTTCACAAAAGTGAATGATAGTATTCCAATACAATCAGGAAAGGTTGTTTGGTGATAATTTTATCTCTGTAGAAAAGAGTCAGCAATGTCATGATTTGTAAATAAATGTAGGCGTCTGTTCAAATGAGAATAGATAGATAGTTAAACATTCCATAACATCTTCTATTGCAGATAGATAGATACTTTATTGATCCCCATATGAGCTATTCAAATGGACTGGGGCTTCATGAATTGGGTAGGAGCTGTCCAGAAATGGACAAAGGGGATAGCATGGATAACTGTTTCTCTTATTTCCAGTCAAATCAAACATCTGAGATTAAAACTTCCAAATAAATGTATTCCAAAAGGTAATACGTGTTTTGTTTGTATTCAGCCTGGATCTTTTTCTTTATTACAAGTCCCAAATCTCATTTTCAGTGAGATTTTCCTCAGCTGTGAAAGGGTAATCATTGTAGAAACCCAAGAGTCGGTCATTCTACAGTCTATTATGACTAAATGAGTCATCAGGGACCGAAACTTCAGGGCCTCATCTTCACAAAGAGTCCCACCACGTGTTTAAACTCAAGGGTTCTAAAACACACTCAGGTTGAATTGGTAAAGTTTTTTCAGATGTAAACTACATGCCATCAGGATAAAAATTAAGTTTTTTGTAGATGGCATATTTCATACAGGAAGCTGCAACTAATCACAATATACACAAGTCTGATGGTCAGAGACTATCAAATGTTTCGTAGATGCTTTGACAGTCGCATTAAGGCAAATTTAAGTATTTCAACTGGAAAATTAGCTGTTTGTTGATGTCCCAGATAAAACAGATGTGTGAATAAATAATTTTTAAATAAATTATACAGTAAAAAAGAACAAATATAAAAGAAACATTAAAACACCTCCTTTGGCTAGTTTTAATATTACCTCAAACTCAACATATTCACTCCAAAAAGTGATGAAAAAGATGAAAATTTGAGCTAATTTTAGCACATTTTGAGAACAGCAAAATTATCTTCAAAAAAGTACAATAAATGTCTCTTGGAATGAGTTCTTGAAATAAAACTGAATGACTCTGTCCCATCGGAAAATCTTGTTTTAACCCTTGTATTATGTTGGAAAAAAATGACTATGATTATGTTGCGGGTCATTTTGACCCGTACTGTGTAAATGCACTCAAAACAGTCAAGAAAACAGGTTAAACCAATAACAACTTTATTTTAGGTTATATAAATATTTAGAAAAGTGACATACAATAAATTTTTAATTCCAACGCTATATTTAAGAATTATTTAGTCTAATCTTCTTGTCCTCCTCTCGGGTCAAAATGACAATTCTTCCCTCCTTCTTTCCTCCTGCCATGCTTTCTCCTTCCTTTTTCTCATCCTGTTTTCCTTCTCTCTGTTCACCCTTCTAAATTCCCTTCTTTTCTCTTCCTTCCTTCCTGTCTCCCTTCTTTCCTTCCTACCTTCCTCTTCTTTGACCAAAGATTCGTCCTCTGAAACCTCCTTATCGTAGGAAAATTGACAATCTGGATCAGCAATAACATTGTCCTCTGTCTCTGAAAAATCCTCTGTTTCTGAAATCTCTTCCTCTACATCATTATCCCAGTTAAAAATCTGTGATAAAGCCTCCTCAGATGTCTTCCTTCTGGAGCTCATTTTTGGTGAGTTTGTCTAAAGCCTAGCGTACATCGACAGAGTAACTGGAGACAACTAGTTGCAAGGCGGCTTTTGGCAACTGAGAGTAGATGATGGAGATGATCAGTTGCTGAAATCGGTCAATGTGAGCGCTCTTACAACTGGAGATAAACAGTCAATCTCCGGATTCAGTCAGTTGCCCGTGTTCTACTTTTCGGCAACTAGTTTTACTCAGATCCGGAGATATCACCCGATGTGCGCGCTCCAACAACATTTGTGTATTGCGTGTATTGCGTCCTCTACAGTTTATGTCAGAAAACACACTGTAGTTGAGGCCAGTTGCTGTCGATGTACGCGCTGTTATTCCCCAGACTGGTCTACTACTAGGAGTTGCCCGTTTTTGCCACATTGTCGATGTGTGCGGGGCAGCAACTCAAAGGCAACGGATATAATCAGTTGCCAGTCCGATGTACGCTAGGCAAAAGAGATGACATGAGAACAGTGACAAGGAAAAGTGTGAAAAAGTTCCCTCTCCTCACACACCTGGCTCTGGGTCTCAGAGGCAATCAAAATACAATGTCAAAGAGACATGTTTTTTTGGATCTGAACAACTATTTACCTACATTAAAGCGTCTGGGTCAAAATGACCCGCAACATCATCTTTGTATACAAACTCTGCACAGACATTCCACTACACATCAAAGTGTCCAGATTTTACACACCAGTTCATGACCCTAGATGAGGAAAAGTCACCAAATATCAGCAAGAAAAAGAAAGGATAACCAGTACTTTGATCAACACAAAAACTGAAATGGGTCAAATTGACCCTTAACATAATACAAGGGTTAAGACAATCATAATGTGCTCGAATTGAGATGAAAACCACTTGACTCAAGCATTTATTACCTCATATTTTAACATTTCGGTCTGTTCTACTCCTATTTCAAAAACAAGAAAGCATTGCACATGCTTTCTTGACAGATTAGGAGAAGAGACAAGGATGCTCTGGTTGAGGCCATAATGACCACAACATAATCAAATACATCATATTGCTTTGACCTAAATGTTGAGTGTGCAAAATAAATCATGATATCTTGGAAATCGTATCGTTCACATTTGCACCTCATCAATATCTGTGTATGCAAAATCTGCTCTTTTGGATTTGTTGCAATCCTATACGCCAACTCATACCTGAAATCCATGTACTGTGATCCGCACGGTGTCGCCTACTTTGGCTCTGGTGGGAGTCATCAGAAGTTTGGGGCCCTTTGGAGCAGCTGAAAAGAGACGGAACAGACATAAAGGTCATCTGGCTGATCGCAGTGAGGAAATCTCCGGCAACACCTGTTTTGTCTGAGCAGGGAGACAAATACAATTTCCTGTCAATTAAGGCCACGGGGCAAAAGGCACGGCCCCCGCAGCTTCCTTTATCCGGCGGCCAGTGCTGGATTTATTCCCCCTTGGAGAGAGGGAAAAAGTAAATTGGGTAGATAGTCATTACTGCAGGAGAATGGGAGTGCGCCTAGTGCTGTGTGGAGCCGGGGAGATAAGGGCCACTTGCAGAGCTAATTCCCCTGTCTTGGCGTGGACAACGGTCTCCAGATGGCTTTCATGTGGACCCTCTCTAAAACAATGGGAGTTGAGGCCAGCAGGAGCCAAAAGAGGACACATGCTGCGATTCTCGGCTCAGAATATGTGCGATAGTGTTTGGAGATGTCGTCGTTTCATGATTTATTCATTTTGTTTAGGAAGCAGAAACAAATAGGCTAATGGAGATTTTGTAAATATCTCCAGTGTGAGATCAATACATTTTATTTTATCTTATCTTACGTTTGCACATAGTTTTAAACGTTGATTGCTACTTTTATTGTTTAATAAATTGTACATCTTTTTTGTATCAAGTCCGAGTCCTTTTTAGGGAAATTCATATGCGCAAATGATTACAAAAACAAAATCTTGTACACTGCAAAAAATGATCAAATATAAGGTTATTAATGCGTCAATAATTTTGTCTTGAATGGAGTTTTAAAACATGATTTTCCAATGGGATAAAGCAAATACACACTTCAAGAACATTCTCCCTTGGAATGTTTCTTGCCCCAAAAAAACGCCCAGACTTCCCTATCCACACACCTCCTCCAGGTCGGGCGGGGGAACCCCAAGGCGTTCCCAGGCCAGCTAAGAGACATAGTCCCTCCAGCATGTCCTGGGTCTTCCCAGGGGTCTCCCGGAACACCTCCCCAGGGAGGCGTCCAGGATGCATCCGGAACAGATGCCCGAGCCACCTCAAGTGGTTGCTCTTGATATGGAGAAGCAGCGGCTCTACTCCAAGCTCCTCCCATGTGACTGAGCTCCTCACCCTATCTCTAAGGGAGCGCCCAGCCACTCTGCGGAGGAAGCTCATTTCGACCGCTTGTATCCGCGATCTCGTTCTTTCGGTCATTACCCAAAGCTCGTGACCATAAGTGAGGGAAGGAACGAAGATTGACCGGTAAATCGAGAGCTTTGCCTTTCGGCTCAGCTCCCTCTTCACATGGAGGAATGGACACCGTCCAATCAGCATTTGCCACGGTGCCAGTAGCTTGGACTTGAGGTAAATAAAGTTTAACTTCAACCACAGTTGCTTCAAAGTCCCCTCTTTGGTCACACATTCACATGTGACCATCAGGTTTGATAAACAGCGACATGACATCATTCCTCAATACTACCAAAAAATCATAATACTTCAGAAAATCTGTATACTTCAAAAACACTCAGAACTCAATATTTCAAAAACTCAGAAAACTCATTAAACATGTTCGGATATTTCATAAAACTCATCAACAATCTTCAGTAAAATACCAAACTTCATCAGTCGATTGAGTGGTTCTTAGACACTGCTTTGAAAACAGTCTCTACCACTTTCCGTGTTGATTTCTTGAGGCTGCATTTCTTGTGTCGAGTCGTGAATTCTTCCAAATTGTTCTAAATTATGTCCATGCAAAGAGTACGTAAGATGGTATTGTCCATGTCTCAGCAGCTCACAGCAGGCCTGATCGGAATCAGGGGCTGTGCAGATTGTCCAAGTGTGCTGATCCAGATGCGTTGTTTCTCTTGAGGTTTTCAGTCTCATCTGAAAATAAAATAAAAAAGTCTTCTGTTCTGTAGATGTTACAGTAGCTCTTCAGAGAATGCTCCATCCTCCACCAACTGAAGAATATGACAATCGTCTGGGATCGACTGTCTTTCAGACAGAAGACATGTTGTATTGTCGATGGTGTCTTGTGTCATAAAATCTCCAAAGTAGTCACTATTTGGCACCATCTCTTTTTCACTTTTCTGTCTTGAAAAATGATTAACAACAATTGTTGTTGTTAATCATAGTCCAGATTTAGTGCAAATGACACAAAACCACTAAAATCACCAACATTTCATATCTGATTGTGTGATTGAGATACATTTTGTTGGAAATTTTCTCAAGGGACATTCAGCATACAGTATATTTCTGTTCTGTATAATAGATTTTTACAAAAATAGATTCTAAGACGTTTCAATAAGCAAACTCCTGGACAAACAAAGCCCAACTCATTCAGTTTAAACTCACAATATAAATCACCAATACAAATGGCTCTTGTTTCCATTGACGGGTTAAAGTAAAGCGGGAATAAATAAACAGACAAATGAGCTCGATTTTAGCTATTAATCCAGCCACAGACTGTCGACGGAGGCTAATGGAGCACAGCTTTTCTCTGGCAAACATTGACTACAAGTCTGCCCCAAACGAATGGTCAAGAGTTACTTGTGAATAATAAACCAGAAAAACATGGTCCTGTCCGCCCACATGAGAAACTGTTCAAATGTAAAAGTGGTTCTATCCCAAATGTATTGAACAGTCCAGGTTCTGTATGGGGCAGAGTGTATTTACCTCCAAATGTACAGATATTTTTACTGAGAGAGAAGGAGGGTATGTGCTGTGAGGAAAGCATCATTTCATATTACCAAGTGTACACAGTAAAAATAAATCTTTTTGGGTTTTTGTTAAAGGGGTTGAACAGCAAATGTCCAAATATAAAACATTTTAGGAAAGGATTCAAAAACAGTCATTTTGAACGTTATAAAAATCAAGGAAAATTAATTTTTTGTTTGTTCATGATGCTAACCAAACATCAAAAACGAAGGAAAATTACTTTTTTTGTTTGTTTATGATGCGAACATGTAGGGAAAAATATGTATGTATGTTTTTGCAGGAAAGTATAAAAACCAAAGGAAGTAACTAATAATGTTTAGACGATGAAAAAGGAGGTGGGAATCAAGTGTTCAACTTCACCTCACTCCTTTTTTTTAGTAACAATGAATGTTCTTCGTTCTGCTAAAAGTGATCCACTGTTTTTTTAGGTTGTTATTGTTGTTGTTCATGATGTACACTTTTTCATTTTGTGCTCTAAATAAACTTAACTAAACTATTGAACATATTTTTACAGACTGCCAGATAATTGGTCAAGAGAGGGATATATAGAAAACATAAGTCAAATGATAGAAAAAAAAAAAAACATGAAATCTAATGATAGGATAATATACATTAAATTGAATATTAGGAAAAAACTAGTTATTTTGTTGTGGATTCAAAGTCCAGATGGATAGAAATAGGTACTATAGGTTCTCCGTCCTGAAAAATCCCCACAGTGGGATGAATAAATGATATCTTAGTCTTCATCTTTAAATAATTCGGTTACTAATATTAATAAAGCTAATGGTAGTAGTATCTGGGCGACATACAGTGTAGGTTGTCACTGCTCATTCCAGTTTCTGTGGTGACATTTTGGATTGTAGCTGTAATGACTTAATTTGACCACTCAGAGTGCAAAATACGTACATTTCAATATCTCCAGTCTACGAGACGTATGAAGCTCCACGCTAACCAAGATAGCAAGGATTATTTTTAACCACAAGTGCCATAGCGTCTCTGTCTCTGTCATAGCAGGGCATATGGCTGCAGAACATGACGGCTGGTTCTGGGATCCTCTCCAACATGACATTTGGCAAACCTACGTCACCAGGCCAGGGGCAGTGACCGCAGTGACAAAGGCTGTGACCGTGTTGAGAACCCAAGTGTTAAAGACTATTGATTTGTCATGGAATATTTGCAATTCTAGTCGGTGCATGTGTTAATGGGTGATGAAGGAAGGGTCAGATGGGATGAAGATCAGTTCGACGTTATTAGCTTACGAGACTTTACATAAACATAAAAAATGGGGATTGCGTTTGTATTACTGTGTGTTTTTCATTCAAGTTATTTTTGTATAGCCCTAAATCACAACATAAACAGTTATCTTGGTATATTTGCAATTGCGTCTGTCGCCAACACAGATCAGAGAATCAAACCGTTCAAACACAAGAAATGCAATGATGACAAAACACTTAAGAGCCTAAATCGATAACCGGCAGATGACCAATGTCCATAAATGTTGTTGAATGTTGAGAGGCCTGGATCAAGCAAGGAAATAAATAAAAGTGGTGTTGCAAGTGTTGTTGGCATTTAATATTACTTCCATAAACTAGCATCTCAGTGAAGGTTAATATTTAGTTTATGATTTATTACTAAGAACAAAATTATAACATTAGAGAAAAACTTTAAGCATTAAGCAGATGCAGTAAAAGCTGGGGGGCTGGCTGACTAAAATACAAACCCCGGCAGTTGTAGGTACAGTAGTAATGTGAAGCATCTTTGAGTGTCCAAAAAGCAATATAATTGTATTATTATTATTATTATTTGGGTTGCAGTGAATTAGTTGTGCTTTATACATACACTAAATTGATTGATTGACTCATTTTATGAAAAGTACAACATGGTTTTTAATGAGATTGTGTGTTCACAGCAGTTGGACGAGCTGCATATGTGTTATTTCATGTATGAAAACACAAATGTAGGTACAGGAAGGTACAATAGCGCAAGTTTTCTGTTTTTGTTATGGTCCTTTTTATGTGTCTGAATTAAAGATGAGATAATAATAGTGTTTATATACAACACTATTAAAGCTTCTTGGACTAAATATCTGAGGTCATTTGGCTGAAAACTTACTTCCAGAGGCAAATAATTCATCCTCTGTGAAGTCTAGCCTTGTGTATTCTGACGCATCAGGTGTGCTCGCCACATGAGCCAACAGATCAACAGGTCTGCCCAGATGCACCGCAGACTTGGGCAGTTAGAGGAACCTGTCGCATTAGCTGCGTGACTGGCTTTTGTTGCTGGAGGAAAGCAGCGGAGCCTTACAAGCATGTTTAAAGGTGCCAGACCCAC